GCGGCGCGCCGCCCGCGGGCCGCGGCCCCGGCCCCGGCCCCGGCCCCCCCCCCCCGCCCGGCCGCCCCGCGCCCCCCCCCCCCCCCCCCCCCCCCCCCCCCCCCCCCCCCCCCCGACGCGGGCATGCATAGGAGAGCTAAAAAGTAGACTAGTTTACCCCAGTTTCTCCACATGTAGCGCAAAATACTGACGACCTCTCTTGCCTCAGCTGCAACAAAAGTTAATCACCTTCTCCCAAGGCCATCACTGTGATTCAGCGCGTGCTCATTGTTTAATCCTGTTCAATTTGTCCTTCGAGAGGAGCAGGAACAACATGTCTTCAACTCCGTCTCCGGGCGCCGCAGACGATGCGCGCTCAACAATCCAACAGGGTCGCAAAAGAAAGCGAATCTCGGTGGCCTGTCGATCGTGTCGGACGCGCAAATCCCGTGTACGCCCCGCTATTCCTCTAGTCATGTGAATTTGCTAACACCTATGCAAACAGTGTGATGGCGGCCAACCGTGTTCAACCTGCCAGGACATGGAGACGTCATGCCTGTATGATCAGCCCATCGGCCAGCCTGCCATGGCGGCCGGAATTGGTCCTGAGGTTGCTGATCTGTAAGTCCAGCTTCCTTCGTGCTTCTTGTCCGCGGTTCTCGATGAATGGGGTTCCTGATTTAATACAGACAGAGAGAAAATGTGCTTCTCGAACAGAGATTGCAGACATTGGAACTAAAGCTTCAATCCTTGGAACAAGAGGAGGGATCTGATAGACGACTACCCCGGAGAAGCGGATCCGTAGAGGCGCATACCGCTGCTCCTATTCCAACGCAAGGAGATCTGCAATGGAAAATCCCTAGGCGACTGGCTAGATCCTCGGATCAAGATGATGTGGTGGACGGAATGGGGTCTGTCGCCCTTAAAGATGGTGCAGATGAGGACGAGTATTTCGGTAGAGTCGGCCCCTCCAATCCCTCTGAATTATTGCGAACCCCTCTTCGAGCTCAACCTAACGACTTTTCTTCTCTTCAATGCAAAGGACCCTCATCAAATGTAGCTTTTCTGAGGTTCATTGTGCGTGCTGTTGGCCATCCGGTGAATCCAGAAGGCTACCTATCGCAGCCAGCCACAGACGTCCTCACAGAACTGAGCAATGATGGGTCCAGCGCATTCTTGAGAAGACCCGCCAATGCAGATAACTCAGGCGAGGGAAAGCAACGGAAAGTTGTGGAACCATTCTCTCTGCCGCCCCAAAGCGAGGCAGAACACCTGCTGCGGTTGTATTTCACGACCGTCAATCTGATGCTCCCCTGCATCCACGAAGACTCGTTCCGGGAGACGTACAGGAAGGCTCAGAGTGACGGGCTCCGAGCAGTGCGGAGACCATGGCTTGGTGTGCTCAATGTGGTGTTTGCCATCGCAACCAATGTCTTGACTCCAACATCACCGCCGCTGGAACGGGCCACACGATCGAGCATGTATTTCGATCGAGCCGTGGAGCTGGTGCGGCCAGACATGTTGGGACGACTTTCTCTAGAATTAGGTATGTCATGACGTTGCATGTTCGACGTGTTACTGTTTATGACTGACCATTGAAACCCCTAGTGCAACTATTCCTGCTTATGGAAATCTATCTCGAAGGGACAACATCCTCATCCCTAGCCTGGACATTCCATGGCCTCGCCGTCAAAGGAGCATACCAGCTGGGGCTTCAATTTATGGGGTCCAAGAACCACTCTTGCCTTGACCAGGAGATTCGGAGGAGAATATGGTACTGCTGTGTGATGAATGATCGGTAATAGCCCCCAATCATGCAAGCAAGAAACGGAAAGGCTGATGACGAGAGGCAGTTGGCTGAGCGTCACGTATGGCCGCCCTCCTCTGATTCCATTGTCGCTCGTGAGACCCGAAACAAGCCTGCACTTGGCATTTAGCAATGTCCCCCGTGGCATTACCATGTCGAGTCTGGCTTACTTCGATGCGACCATGTAGGTTACCGTTTTCGATTAATTACCTAAACATGGCATTAAACTGATGCATCAAAGGGCTATGACCCATATAATAGGAGAAGCCGTGGATCGGCTATACGACCAGAACCTGGGTCCCCGTTCGCTTGCCCCTATGAATGAGGCACTCGATCAGATCTCCCGATTACGCTGGAAACTGGCGCAATGGCAGGACAATCTCCCGGCATGTTTAAAGATCATCACTTCACAAGACACAGCCGATGATGTCCCTCCCACTCTCGAAACTACTCGATTTCGTGTCCTTCTATCTCTTCGCTTCTTGGGGACCAGAATCCTTGTCTTGCGGCCCGTCCTCAGCCAGTACCTCGACCTGCCTGGGACAACAACCTCGAATGGAGAACAATCCAAATGGCTCTGCAGTTCTGGGGCAGTTCTGCTGGCCGATTTAGTTCGCACATGCAGCGACATCCTTCATATCAGCAAGAATATCCTAACTGCTTCACGAAACGACCAAAATCTACTTGGGGCATGGTGGTTTTCCTGCTATTATAGTATGATAAGCCATCATCACAGCCACTCACATTACAATTCGTGATCTAGCTAACCGAGTACAGCATTCAACTCCTCGCTTGCAATTCTGGGAGTCCTTCTGATCAAACGAATCCCGTCGTTGTCAGCTGAGTTGTCAACCTTTTCTGTCGCAGAATTACGAGTTTTACTGGACACGGCCATGGACATCCTGCAAGGACTAGGTACAGGCAATAAGACCATCATGCGGTGTCGAGGGACCCTCGCCCGGCTTATCAACGAGTTTGATTCAAGCGGTACGCAAGGTACGCAACAACCACTAAACTACCCAACTGTATCCTCGACATGGCTGACAATTGCCGTGAAAGTTCATGGAGCTGGATTTACGCCTGCGTCATTCTCGTTATCCCCATCCAGTGCGTGGGCGTGGCAGCTCATGGAGCCGGGGTTGTTTGGTTCGGAGGTGTCATTGGGTCTTGCGCCTAGTCTGTCGGATGTTGCACATGCTTCGCAATTACCCAATGGCTTTGAAATGCATCATGGTGATCATATGTCCATATCAGGGAACCAATGACTGGGACTGGGAAACTAGACTGGCGTTTACGATTATCTTTGAACATATCATTTACACTAATAATACCCTCGCGACTGCGCCAGTTTGTCAGTCTGTGGCAAGTTCCATCCTAACCTCTACAGGATCCTTGATCTGGGCAGTGATAGCTTCCTGCATGCTGATGTTCTTCTTTAACACCTCTCTGGGGTTAAACCGTCGCACTAACATCGACAGCACAATCTTTTGTTCAATGAGTGACAGGTTCTGTCCAATACATTGTCGACTTCCTCGCGAGAATGGGTGAAAATAGGACATCAACTGTCGTTTCTGGTCATCGTCGACTAACCATCGCGAAGGGTTGAAACTTTCCGGAGACGGAAAGACAGTGTCGTTGTACAGGAAAAACAGGGGGGAAAGGCTGACGATTGTCTGTGGGCGATGTTAGCCATCAATTCGTTACCCATGAGAGAAGATAGCTACGGGAGATGTGAAAAGAACTCACTTTCGGTGGGAAATAATGACCCTTGAACGTCCATCCACCCTCTGGGACGGATCGTGGAAGTCGGACACGACTCGGGCAAGTGATCCGAAGGCCTTCCTTTACGCAGGCGTCGAGAAAAGGCAGAGCATCGAGATCCTGGATTGGGGGTCTGCTGTCAAGCGAGGGCATAACAGCCTGGACTTCCTCTTGGAGCCTTCGATATGCCACAGGGTCCTGCAGAAGACGATGCAGGGTGACCGCTAACGCCGCAGCCGTTGTGTCTGTCCCTGCCACAAACATCAAGATGGCTTCGGAGACGAGGTGCTCTTTTGTCAGCTTGGTGGATGTCTTCTCCGAGGACGAGATCATGTTTTGAAACATGGTCCAGGTACCCATCGTATGCATCTCGTCGAACGCCGCTTCGGCGGCCTGTCCCAACGCAAGGAAGCCATTGGGAACAGCACTTATATTGTAGTAAGTTGCCCATCGCAGAGCTTCTCGAAGGATCGGAAAATGTTGGAACTAATTATTGATTAGTTACACCATGTTAAACCTCGTGCTCCTCTCGCCAGAATAGAGGCACTTACAAAGGGGACTGTGCGAATAGATTTGTCAATGGCGTCGAAGACGGTCGACTCGAAGTCCTCCAGCTCCAGCGCACCGGTCGACTTTCCAAAGGCGAACTCGGAGATGGTGTCCAATGTCATGCAGCGGAAGGCGGGGAAGAGCGGGATTGTCCGGCCGTCCTTTACCCGCTGCGTAATGCGATCCATCAGACACGCTGCCTTGTCGTAGATTGACGCACAGTGCTGGACGATATTGGCCCGCGAGAAGGCATGGGACATGAGTTTCTTGTCATGTGCATGTTGTTGCCGGTCGCGCATGGTGAAGACATTGGGGGCTTGGTCTTCAAATGCGCGATAAAAGTACTCGGCTTTTTCGAACTTGGATGTTTGTGCGTAGATGACGCCAGATGCCTCTATATCATTGAATGAGACTTCTCCGGGTGAGATCCTCAATATTGGCCCTGGCATGTGTCAGTAGGTAGGTATATCGCAATTGTTCCTTGGGATGGGGAACAATCCCACAACCCTAAATCATACCGTATTTCTGGTGCAACTCGAGAATCTCAACATGAGGATTTCCCCTCATCTCCAGGGTAAGAAGCCACCATCGTGAGATCTTAGCAAGGAAAGGGCCCGGGATATTCCGTAGAGGGTGGACGAAGATATTGTATACGCAACGCCCAACAACCCAGAGAACCAAAGCCACGACCCCGTATGCAATGTAGGTCATGGTGAGACAGAGTATTGGTTGGTCGTTGATGAATAGAGAGAAAGAGCGCTGGCATCTTACCTTTTATTCTTTCCACGTTTACTTCTTTTCTTTTGTACTGCGACTGCCGCGCTTACTTCTTTCTCCGTGTCTTCCCCGCCCCGCCAAGCACACCGGGGCAGCGGGGCCCCGGGGCTCCCGCGTGTGCCACATCGAACACTAGGTAGGCCAATCCGGTTCGATTAGCGCGGATAGTCGTCAAACTTTCCCACTTTGTGATAGGTGGTAACACTGTCAGATTACATGTAGGTGAATCGGGGTAAGCTGCCAATACGGAGGTGGAGCCGAGTGTACGGTATTTCCCGCCGGGGATAGTTCCCCGGTACTCCCGAAGGGTAACGACAACACACCCTGTAGAGGATGGAGAAGTTGGGGATCTTCATCCAGGAAGGGAATGACACTTTAAGGACCAGTACTTTCCCAGACCTCGCGCAAAATATATAATATCAAACCCCCGTGCGTTTCCACAGCTCAACCAGGATTTTGTTTGCCGAACACCTAGGAGTTGTATCATACCATGTCTCCTCAGCCAGGCTCAGCGACCCCCGATGCCCGCGCATTGAGCCGGTTCTTCGAAGACGCCGCTCACATCCTCGGTGGGGCTAATGTCTCCCGTGACTATCGGCATGGGGCCTTAAAAGGTCCCCAAGGCGAGGACTCCTACGGCGACCCTTTCTCGACCAGTGCGAGCCACAAGCCTGGTGGGGCGGTTAGGCCTGGCAGTGTGGAAGACGTCCAGGAGATTGTCAAGCTCGCCAACACCCACAAATTGGCTCTGTGGACGGTTTCCCGAGGGAAGAATCTGGGGTACGGCGGATCGAACCCTGTCGTCAAAGGAACCGTCGTTCTCGACCTGCAGCGGATGAATAAGATCATTGAGGTGAATGAGGAATATGCGTATGCCATCGTTGAGCCTGGTGTCTCTTTCTTTGATCTTTACGAAGAGATCCAAAGGAGGGGACTCAATCTCTGGCCGTCCGTTCCAGCGATCGGATGGGGTTCCGTCTTGGGCAATACCCTTGACCGTGGCATCGGCTACACGCCGAATGGAGAACACTCGCAATCGCAGTGTGGCATGGAGGTTGTCTTGCCGAACGCAGATGTGCTCCGCACAGGTTCAGGCGCGATGAAGGACAACAAAGCCTTCCCGTTGTTTAAAGGGTAATTATGTCATCATCATCTGCACGTCCTTTCCCCTTGCAAAGTGCTCTCTCTAACGACATTGAATAGAGGGTTTGGACCGAGCCTCGACGGCCTTTTCTACCAATCCAATCTTGGTAAGGAGGCCTTCTCTAATTACCTGCTCTCCATTGGGTATATCACCTCATTGATTGCTGACACGAAACAGGCATTGTCACAAAACTCGGCATCCATATAACCCCGGCCCCAGAAGCATACGCCACAGTCGAGGTTAGCGTGCCCCGAGAGGAAGACCTAGTGCCGCTTGTAGGGACGCTTTCCGACCTGATGCGCCGCTCCATAATCATCAACTCTCCCTCCGTCGCCAACATATTTCGCATCGCGCTGACGTCTAGAGTCCCCGAAGTCCACGCCAAGCTAGCCGAGTACATGCAGATGGGCTCCTACGTGCCGTACAAGGTGCTGGAAGAGATCCGCGCCGAACAAAACTGGGGATTCTGGAAAGCGTACTTCGCCCTCTACGGCTCCGTGGAAATGCTTCCCGCGCTACGGAAAACCGTCGAGCGTGCCTTCTCTGGCATCCCTGGAGTCCAGATTGAGTGGCGCGAGTTCCCCGGGTCCCCAGGCCGCTCCATCAGCACCGCCGAGATCAAAGAGGAGGAAATCCCGCATAGCGGCATCCCGACCTTGGCGCCTCTGGGCATCGTGGATACTCGGGGGCAAAAAGGAGGCAGTCATATCTGCTTTTCGCCCATCATCCCTCCATCGGGCCGCGAGCTTTACAGCTGGTACTTGACTGCGAAGCAGCAAACCATCGATGCAAAGTTTGATTTCTTTGCCGACTTTCACATCTACCCACGATATGTGATTGGAATCCTGTTAGTGATTTACACGCCTGGAGAGGACAGCGCGGTCGACGGGCTGTACAGGAATCTGCTGCATGATGGCTCCAAGCAAGGGTACATGGAGTACCGCACGCATGTTAACTACATGGATGATGTGGCAGCAAAGCTGGACTTCAACCAGTCAGCATTTATGCGGTTTACAGGCTTACTGAAAAACACCTTGGACCCAAATGGGGTCTTGTCGCCAGGCAAGTCGGGTATTTGGAATTCGGCAGCTGCAGTTTAACCGATTTAATATAAGTTCCGATGGCTGAACCCCCGTTTATTCAGATCCATATTCAGGAAATCGGTTGACCTACTTACATAACTCACACGGAGAAAGAGACTAAAAGCGCAGTTTCTATCAGGACAGCGACGGCGACGGTGATAGTAACGACAATAGCAATAGTAATAGTAACGGTAACAGCAAGAGTGATGGTGGTCGACGTGACGGTCGTGGTGGTCTCGGGGAATGTCGTAGGCGCCGATGTGAGCGAAGACTTACATGCTTGTGACTTACACTGTCGAGATGACAGGCGATCCAAACTTGGACGCACACGCCGAAGACTGCGCGACCGGATTATAGTCCACATGCCCAACAACTTCCAGGTTGCTACAGGCACGGGTTGACGGTGCACAGCAGATTGTAGGGATTGATCTAAAGGCCCGGGGTCGGCATCTTGATGAATAAGAGCAATCGGGCAGAAGCCACATTTTCCAGTCTTCACATGATTCGTATGTAATTGGGCCTAGACTGAAACAGTTCTCCACACAGGTTCAAGAAAAAATCGAGATCCATCCTGCAACACAACAGTCAAAAGGCCACAAAAATATCCCCTTTGCAGATATGGGTATGTCTCCATCTTCGCTTTGCAGACTGATTCTAACGTCTCACCACCCAAACTGTTCGCAGTGTAACTCGACTCCAGGACCGTTCGGACGAATAGTCGCAGCCACTGATTTGCGTATGTCACGCATCAATCCGGCTGGCCCGGAGGTGACTACCAGCACCCTCTGCTCCGGCCGCGCACGATCAAGCGATGACTCGATCAATGCTTTGATATTAGGACGGCCAAAGTTCATGGCGGCCGACTCATGCGCGGACACCGTTGGGGCTGCTTTCTCGACATCGGAGAAGCTTGCCTGATGCTCAAGGCCCTTGCCCTTCGCAAAGTTGTCGGCAGTCTCGCGCGTGATGTGTAATGTGAGCGAAATCTTTGAAGCATGTTCGTGCGATCTGGTGGAATCTATATGATCCTGGTACCAGCTGAGGTGTGCTGGAGTGAAGGGTGCGTTTGTCAGCTGAGAAGACGACAATTACAAGAAACACGTCTAAGACCAGGAGACGCGATGGGGCAGAAAACGCGCCGAAAATAATACTTACTGCTCTCCCTTGCTGTCCAGGTAAACTCGACCTCCGTGGGGTGATCATGCCCCATCCTGCTGAGCAAACTGCCCAAGACGCCAAAGGCGAAGCTCGCCCCGCTTCCTCCGGCAATGATGACGACCCTGTCGAAGTGAAGGGGATCGGGGAACGTGCCGTACGGCCCGTCGAGGGAAGCGAGGACCTCGGCGCCCTCCTTCTGCAGCGCCAGCGCCCGCAAGTCTCTCGTGAAGCCATCACGCGAGTTGACGACAAACTCGACCCACGGCTCCGTGGCCACAATGCTAAATGGGTGCGTCTCGAACAGCCGGGCGCCAGGGATCCAAAGGAAGCAGTGCTGGCCGGGGACGGCCTGGCCAGGGGGCCTCCTTACTAGGACGCGCGTGCCGCCGTCCGAAAGGGGGTACAACTTGGCATAGTTCCCCCACGCGTTGTAGTTGAGCCGCAGTGCCCGGAGGACCCGGTCGGCTGCCCAAAGGGCGCCGGCCACGATGGTCATGATGGCGACGCCCTCGGCAATCTTGTGCTGGTGCAGTGCCGCGGTGACAATGATGATGATGAAAGAGGTGATGTGGCTCACGTAGAAGACCTCGTAGCGTGATCCCTTGAGGAGGAGCGGCATCGCGAACATGACGAGCATGCCGAAGCCCGCGACGATGCCGGAGACGTCCGAGGGGCGGCGGAGCATCTCGGGCCGGTTCAAGGTCATGAATTGGACCGCATACATTATGGCGTGCAGTGCCGTGAACAGGACCGTCGTGTAGCCAGCGGCCTGGTGGAGGATGTTGATCCTCTCATAGGAGTAGCCGACAAGGAAACCGAGTGGTGTGTTCTTGAGTGCAAGGAAAACTAACACACAGAGATTTCCAGATATCATCCTGCAAAAGGTAGGTGGGCTTGTTAGCACAAATTGTGTCCATGAGAGGGGGGTAACAACAATTTCTTGTCGTGGATGATCTTAGTGGCGAGCCCTTACCAGCCGAATCTGTTTGCCAAGGCTCCATAGCTGCCTGTATCGACATTCGTGAAGGAAACAGCGGCGTTGATTGCGGTGTAGGCCGCAATTGTCAAAGCATGACCAGATGAAGTGAACCCCGGAAGTGGCCTAAGTAGAACGCTGCGCACTGTTCTGCCAAGAGAGTTAGCCCGTGGACCACCTGGCTAATTTGTTCCGCTGCCAAACATACCTAGAAACGCACACAAACGGATAGGCTGTGGTCCGAAGTAGTGACTTCCCGCCAGATCGCGTCCCCCTCCGATACACGTGGCGGAGTATGTGAGCGAGGATGAAGATTGCCAGGATACCGCAAACCCCAGCGGCAAAGTACTTGACAGCCTTCTCGTTTTGATGGTGTCGAATGGCGAACGACGCGTGTTTAGCAGCCTCGGAATTCCCACCCCAAGTGCCAGCGGGGTGACCGCTGCCCTCTGGATGAGTTGAAGACATCTTCGTCCAATGATGCGACCTGACCAAACCCTCGTTACTGGTATCAAAAACAAAAAAAAAAAAATTGGGTGTCTAGAACCGCGTCACTTGTGTCACGGGAAGATGGGACAGACGCCACATATAAATAAGCCCAAAGGTAGAGAGGCATTGCTGTGCATGTGATTTCTATGTCGCGCCCATGGAAATATGCCGCGATTCAAAAATGCTGCATCGATATTCGATGGTATCGGTAGGTAATATCAGCACGGATGCTATAATTGATTGCATCTCCAATCATTGCCAAATGAGGCATCTGGGAGGAAGGTGAATAATGCGGTTGCAGGTACATTTCGGCACCTGTAGGAAGCAGCCCAGACATACATAGTAGTCCTCAAACCCGACCCAATAAGACTCTACAGGATTTTAAGGTTATTGGCGGGTTTACATCCTTGTTTCCCCAGACTTATTCTGCAACGTGCCACATGGAGTCCACACCAACGCCCAGTTCAATTTATTATGGGTATATACAAGGGGCCCGCGAGGGAAAATGGGCTTAGGTAGGCAAACAACTTTGTTTCACTTGTAGTCCTGAAAGCGACATGGATTAGAACGATGATACCATCTAGGCGATTTAGTCCATCCATTAGGTTGTTTGGCTGTCTTTGGAGAATTAATTCCATCGCTAAAACCTCCCACTGCACAGGATGCGGGTCCTGGCAAGAGGAGAGACACCGTCGATGATGCCTCAAAAGACAATTGCCCATTTCGAGAGACCGACCCTTGGAGTGAAAATGCAACTTACATACACAGCCAAACTTTACTTTGACTCCGCGTCGCACGAACGCATCCGCGTACATGGTGGGAAAGCATTCATGTGGATCACAAGCCCGCTGGTAATTGTTTCCTTGGTCGTTCTTCGGCTGATGTAGGTCACTTGCCTCGATGGTCTAGACCAGGCCAACGGCCCCACTTCCGCGGGCGATGAACCTGTTATGGATGCAATAATTAATTTGAAGCGATCTGATTGCGGGGGAATATATAGTTGCGTTATCGGTGGCTAATTCCATTGATTGACCGAGCCTCAAAATGTGGGCGGCATCGAACTCAGTCTAGAACATGCAAAGATCCAGTCACAATTTACCCACCACCCCTGGTATGCAAGTATGGAAGGTCATAAGGTAGTCAGTCACCAGAACAGAGACGAGCTTCTAGTCACGTGTGGTGGATTCCCAACGGAGGAAGGGGCATTTCAACCAGAAAAACGGCGAAACCACGACCCAAGTCAAAGTAGGATGACTTCAGCCCCAGTGATAGCGCTGTGTCATCCTAGGCATGCCTAACTGGGATACAGAGATGGCGGACTTCGAGGTGATAGCGGCGCATCTGTTGCCATTTCTGGACAAAGTAGAAGCTGTCACAGTAGATGGATGTTGGCTGTCCTGAGTGAGGACCACGCCGCAGAAGGTGAGGAGACGGTGAGAGAGAAAATAAATCCCCCCTTACATTCCCCTCCAATTATACATCATTGAGAGAAAGTCGGTCAACATGTTCCTCACCCAGCTGGGTCCGCTGGCCATCAGGAAGGGTGTGCTATACAATGACGACAGCCTCTGGGGGCGCCACTGGGCCTGCAAGTGCGCTGGCTGCGTTCGTCCGCGTCGAGCATTACGTTGTTTTCGAAGTGGCCTAGTGCAGCAGAGAGTGCCAGACATGGCACTGGGATTCTCACAAGGCCCCTTGTACTGGATTGCTAACCGTCAATGCACAAGGTTAACTTCATTCTCAAGAACATAGCTCGCGTCATCCACTGGCGTCTGAGAGTATTAGCCTCGGGCTCGATCACACCCTCGCTAGAACAGGAAGACGTGAATTCTTTCCGCAACCACGAGATCATCCGAGTCGCTCTGCCGTCTGGGGTCCAGGCCGCCATTGACCCCACGGGAATCCAGTTTGGATGGAGAGACTATCTAACACCGTGGTCGGCATTCGCGCGGCATCGAATCCACCGCATCAAAGAAGAAGCACCGTGCAGGTCCATACACCAAGATCGTGTTCTGCCCACTGGACCGCTGGGCGTGTCTCAGACAGCATGGCGGGGACCGACGTGCGCTGCACGTCGGCGCGAGAGAGAGTCGTCGAACAGGTCACGACTGCTTGGAAAACGAGGGATGGATGGCGGATATGGCGGCGTTTCCGGACTTTTGAGATTGAAGGACTCATCCTTCAGCAAGGCAAGGACGGTGCTGCTCTCCAGAGTAAAAGATGTGATTAACAAGCAGGCAGGCATCAGGGGGAGTTGAAACGTCCAAGACTGGACTGTGGTGGAGGATATGCGCACACCACAAAGCTGACAGCAGATGTGTGCTGAGGAAGGTTGGATATTTTTGGAGGATGAGGCTTGATGGCAACACCACAGAACTCCAAGGTATTGGAGTTGTGACACCGGCTGTGATTCGATTGCCCAACGCAGGGCTGGGATATCCCTCATAACTGGAATGCCAAATGCCACGGAAAGATTCGAAAAGAAGGCTACATCGCCCAGTTCGATCTTCTTCCCCTTTGCCTTAAAGTTGTAGATTTCGCAGACAACGAAGCTCAAGCAATGAAGAACAACAGCGTCTGAAAAAGGAAGGAAAACAGGGGGGAGATACCTCCTTGTGGAATGGAAGCCATGACGCAGCTGCTGCCAATTACTGTAGAAGCTGCCGTCTCCACCCCTCCCCCTGATGCCGGAAGGGTTCCGCCTCGTGGCCACCCTGTAATTATGATCGCGAATGTCTCGATTTAGCATGATCGACGAGGGATTCTGAACCTCGAGGTTACCAGCCCAGAAAACTCTTCCACATGCCACGGAGGACCATGACAATCTCGCGGCAATTTTTTGAGTTGCCCACACGATCGATCGCCGTGCATTCGTGCCATTCTCGTAAGTCGGGGTGTTCCCTAAATATTATGGAATGTTCTGATCACCGACTGCCGGTAACTGGGAGTTCTTACAATTTCTCGGAAATTGCCTCGAGTGCCTTCTCTAGGTGTAGATCCCGCCGCCTCACCCAAGCTGCGTCGTTGGCGAATCTCTTCTTGGAAGCCATCCCAGGTTGCCGGAACAGTGTGAGCATCACCTCGCTCCCACTTTATCATGAAAAGGAGATTTCATACCCCTGCAGCTCTTCCCCTCCCTTGGTTACCATGCAGGGAGAGCTCATTTTACTGCCAAAAATAGGCCTAACTACATTCGAATATCTCTGAGCGGGTCAGCCGACAGATATCTCCGTGTACCTCCGGAGACACACGTACGTCTGCATAACTGTTGACACTTTCGGGCTCCCAGAGCATCTGATGCATATCTTGGATACAGGTGATTGTCTGAACTTCCATCATGGGAACGCAGCTTGTATTAGGCCTATCGCTGAATATTGTTGAGAATGCGGACGAGACACGGCTGCCAGCTTCAAGCATTATACTGGCTCGATCGCGAGCATGAAATTTTGGCTTTCTCTACCCTGGTACTAGTTTTCTGGGGGGAGAGCTGCCCCCTAACCAGTCCATGCTTTAGGCTCCCATCCGTGCCGCCTTCCTGGAAAGGACAGTGCCATTGGCCATTGGCCATTCGCCTCCAATGCGAGCAATTTGCCCCAAGATGCGCGAGTGCCTGCACCAGGTAATTAACGAGGAATCCGGGAGCACAGCAGCACCTAACGCTGTAGACTGCCATATTATGTCTCTGGGATACCCGGTCCCGTCAAGGGTAATTGGGCCTCGGGAACTATCCAGATGCACGAGTCTAGACTCATAATCAGGGAGGTGGAGACGACGCCCACTGAGCTGCTCATGTGACAGGCTTACACTGCGGAATAGATTTCCGCCGTACTGGAACCGCCGATCGGCGAGGATTTATTAGTTAGTGTACAATAATATTGAAGTCGAATAATCAAGCCCTTCTTGCGCGGTTCCTCAAAAACGGCAAAAACGGCAATGACGGCAATGACACAGGGATGCGGAGGCTACAATCCTGCGCGGCCAATTCATGTGGCTGCATATTCTCATCTCCTGTCATGGTATTCCCGCGGCAAAACCTGAGCTAGTAGAAGCCCAGCCCGGAGGCTCTTCCCACGGACCTCGGAAAATTGGTTCTCAGCTTGCGGTGGGTTTCCTCATTGGTAACTTTGCGGAGGATTGGCGAATCACAGCGTCCGCTTGGTGCCATCTCTGTGGCTTGGCGCCATCTTTGTGGCTTGACGCCACCAGCTGAAACTGCCACTATAACAACATAGAGTTAGCGTAAGGCTGGGACCGCAGCGGCAAGGCTTGTTCATTTTAAGCTAGAGAGAAAATTGACAATAGCTTCCTTTCTTCAATGATCTAAACCAATTACCTGGCACCCTGGCGCTAGATTCCATGAACAGTCGATAGTCCAGGGCCTGACCAGAATAGCCCCTGAAGTCAAATATCTAAACCAATCACTTGGCACCCCTGGCGCTAGCGACAAACAATAGTCCGTACGCATCGAGCCTCACAAGAATACGACGTGTTATGGGTAAGTTTGCCCCGGGGTCAGGTATCCGTGCTCACTTAGGGGGCGAAAACGTTTGCTCCAGACTGCGTTGCTTCGCATAGTCAGTAATCTAAATCAATCACTTGGCAAGGGCAGGTGGAATGCTGGATAATAAAAAGCACCATGTTCCTCGTCAAGAAATAATCTTGCACAGGCGAGCAAAGATAAATCCTGTGGCAAGCCGGTTTCTATCCAGTGCAACATGTTGCTTCATCACTTCCTGGCGCTGACAGCGTCATTCAGCCTAGCCTCTGCCAAATGCGTTAGCCGAACCACCGGCGGCCCGGACAACACCATCAGTTCGGCCAGCACCGGCAGCCCGGTCAGCACCGACGTCCCCGTCAGCACCGAAGACAACCCGGTCAGCACCGACAGCCCGTCCAGCACCGACAGCCCGTCCAGCACCGCCAGCCCGCAAGCCACCCAAATATGTCAAGCCTACGGATCTAGGTCGTCGCAAACTGAAGCAATCCTCACTTCTACCCTGCTTGTCGACAATAGCTTCAGCGGATGCAGTGCGCTTTGCAGCACGACATCGGGTTGTCAGAGTTTCTCTATCCAAATCGAAACCGGCGGCGCGTGCAGCCTGTACGACAGCGTTCTATACACAGATTTCATTCCAGGCTCGAGCGGTCCGACCATCTTTTTCGATGCTGACTGCCCGGAGCCTGTGGTCTCGGTGAGTGAATCATTCATTGCCTTGCCCTCCAAGTTCAAGTGTCCTCGAATGAGTTGAGCTGACAAGACTTTGCCTATCCAGGGACCCTCTATATCTCCGTACACGCCGTCCACTACCTACGCTTCTGTGCCCACCGCCCCGGGATCAGTAGCGACATTCTCTGCATATGTATCCCCGACCATCTTGTCAACAGACAGTCCGCCATATACTCCAACCGGTCCGCGGGAGACGCCGACCGATGACAACGAATTCATCGCGACGTACACATACACCGAGTTCCAACTCACCGTGGAGGCCACGGGATCACCGCCAATCACGACTGGCGTCCCTCATCCTACCGGGACGGACTTACCAGATCTGCCGTGCATGGTATCGCCAGGGCCGCAGGCACCGTTTGTAAGTCGACGCATGACTCAATCTTGGGGATCCTGAAAGCTCACTCATCATCATCGTCACAGAGCGTTCTCAACGAAAACTTCTTGCCCATGGTCAGCAGGACCAACTCGATTGGTCCTCTGTTACAGCCCACTGAAGCGCCTGCTGCGGATGACCCCATCCTCAACCCGGAGACGTTCACCTTGCCTGCCTTTTATCTCCAAGCGCCCGCAGGCGTTTCGGGTGTGTATGACCTGGTATATGATGGGGATACACCTCAATATGTCGGCATGACCACCGACGGAGAGGTTGTTCTCGTGGACGCGTCGACAGGACCGACTTTCAATGGTGGCAATGTTGTTACATCCATCTTCAACGTCGACTGCCTCGGCGCCATCCACATCACATACGGCGGCTCGAGCTACACGTGGTCCACGGATGGACAGTCGTGCACAATAGTGCAAGCGTCGACGCCCTCGAACAACATGAAGGCCCTTCCCGTCACCATCCCTGAGGTCCACGAACTGCTCAAGGACCGCAAGCGTACGCAGGAGCTTGCGGAGACGCTCATGAGGCGGGCAAAGCTGCAAGAGCGGGTGAATGCGGATTTCAACGCCCCGCAGTGTCCCTCTACGCCTCCCGGCCTGGTCTCCAAGACAAAGCAGGGCTATGAGATGGACCAAGGCAACTTCTGCGACAACCCTCACCTCTCCGAGTACTGGGGACTCAGTCCATTCTCTTTCGACGGATCCTGCATACTTCAGAGTCTTTGCTACGATCAGTGCGAGGATTTCAGCTGGGTGGGTTGCAACGCCATCTTCGCCTACTCGATGCTTCTCTCGTGCGCGAAAAACTTTGAGAACTGGTGGGAGGTGCTAGAGGCCGTCGCCTGTGCTGCGCAAGCAGGCTACTTCACGGGCGTCGCTGCAACTCAAACGGGTCGCGATCTCTACTACAAGGCTCAGGACTCCATGTGCTACTGCTTCTGCTCCAACCCTCCTGATACGTGCGTCTTCACCGATGGCTCTTTCTACTGTGCTGATATACACGGCACCGACAACAACAACTGCGGCAACTGTGGAAGGCAGTGCGGCGCGAACTCGGCCTGGTTCGTAAATCCCCGTGTTCCTTCCAATGTTTTTGTCCAAAGCAAAGTGCTAACTCGACTCTTCTTCTAGCCATGGTGGAGTCTGCGGATGCCCACGAGACCAGTGCGGTACAACATGCCTCGACTTGCGCAACAACCCCAACAACTGCGGCCGCTGTGGCAACGTCTGTGACCCACAGTACTGCATCGGCGGCGAATGCTACGTGCCAAGCCCGGACGAGTGCGCACCCGAGCAAAGCGTCACAAACTACATGTTCGACACGTTCACGTCCACATGGGCCAACTGGACCATGGCTGCCTACCCGGGTTCCACCCTGGGAACTGACATTGTGTTTGGGGCCAGCCGGTACACCCCGCAGACCGGAAGCACTGTCTACGCACTTTCGGTGACGATGAATGACTTGCCGGCCGGGGGCCGTCATGCGGCCGTGACTCAGAAGAAGGTCAAGATGTGCCCGGGTTTCGTGTACGAGCTCACCTTCAGCATGGGTTACGTCAACCAAGTCAATGACGGCGCGGTTACCAGCAACGCCGACTGTACGGCACGGTGGTTGACTGGACCGCCGAGCGCCTGGAACGTCAACGACAATTTCCAATCCTCGGCCAGCTATTCGATCGGGGCGAGTAACCCTACCTACGCGACATTTGGACCGTGGACTCTCAACGTAAAGGACGGCGACGCGGGAGTGACCAAGAACAAGGCGAACCTTTACATTGACTTGACGGCTGTTATTTCCTGCAACACCCCTCTCGGCGGCACTGGTCATTTCATTATCACCGACGTGGAGATGAAGCCGGTGCGTCAAGTGACGAAAAGATCTCCTACGATCGGTGAGCAAACGGCCGGTCTTGCCTTGGAGCAACGAGGCAGCAGTGCTACCAACATTTCAGCGGCACTGGCGCCCTATTATCCGGCCCAGGGAGAGGGTGAAGAGCTCGTTGAGACCTTCAACTTGGGTCCCGCCGTGAAGGGGAGAAGGAGCTGGGCCGCTGGCTCGGTGTAATTTTGGCCCGTGACAACTATACAGTAGTTATCCTTTGTGTAGACATTCATTTCATGTGTATCAGTTATTAATATAATTACTCTCCGGGCCATTCTTCAGCTCGCGATAGTCCGTTTCTTCTGATTGCCCTTTTTGGAGGCTACTAAGCTCAACCCTCTTCCCGGCCAGCATGTAAACGCGACCTCCAACTCCAATGCACCTCCGGATCCTCTAAGAGTCTCCGCATGCTCTCCTCAAACGGTCTGCCCTGTCCCCTAAACCGGAGCCCCCGATCGAGACACAACCTGGCATACTTCACTGCCCGCGCCGCGTCGCCCACGCCGCTCCACTCGATCGCAGCCCGGTAGAGGGCCTCGTGCATGCGTCCCGCGGCACCCTCGAGCTCGAAGAGCAGCACTAGCAGCTCCGCCTTTGCCGGCGTCGCGGTCGAGCTGTCAGAGTAGTCGTCGAGCTCCGCCCGCAGTCGGTGGATCTGCGCGATCCGGCTGTCGGACTCGGCGGCCAGATGTGCATCGGCGGTGCAGCGCTTGCATGAGCAGTGGAAACCCCAGTGCGTATGCAGGTAACCTTGTCTCTTTGAGCGTGGCTGGAGAACGCTGAGGGGGGCGGTTAGTCGACCTTGGAATCGGGGGTTAACAACAATAAGCTTACTCGATGTATGACACGGAGAGCTCCTCTCCCGGCGAAATATCGGTGGCGGCAATGACCTTAAGAGACAGGGTGGTGTGGTCGAAATAATATCCACAGTTTGGCTGACAGTCATGATTGAGCCGGGAAACTAATTACTCATCGACACAAGGTCAGCATTCCGGCATGGCATGGTGTAATTCACGAGCCATTTTATGCACGCACCCTCGGTGAAAGTCGAGTAGAAGTCTGATTCGCCGTCATTGACACTCGTGCGAAAAGTGTTGGTTGTAAAGATCTTGTGCACCAGATCGGTATAACCGTTGGCGCCATCGTGAGTTGATAGATTTAGGAATCGGTCCCGATGCACAGGGGGCAGTGGCTCGACGGCGCGCGCGAGAAGATCGGCCAGATTCTCCTTGCTCATCCCAGGATATGCTCTTCCGTCGACCATGACGGCTGGTCTATGTGCCATGATGCGTTGGCCAGCCCGGATTGGACGGGTTGCGATCAAACCAATCCCCTTGCCCGGTATTGCGACGTCCCTGTATGGTAAGGATGACTCTGACAGTACCTGGCTGGATGAATCGTCAACACGCTCTCTGAACGCTGATTCTGATGCAAGTTTTGCGAATCTTTCAGGTGTGGTGATGAGTGACACGCTTTCGCCTTCATTGAGGGATGACTGAGTATATGCGCAAAACTGGACCCCCTCAAATCCATGACATTGGGTGTCTTGTATCCATCGCGATTGTTCGGATATTGGCACATCAGTGACGCTCCGATTACTTCCCACGGTAGGTACAGTGCATATGGCTGAGTTGGGCGCGTATAGCGAGGGGACAATGGAGGAGGCGGGTGAATGTCTGAGAGCGCAAGTGTCGTCTCCTCCAGCAGCTACACTTATCAGCGGGAGCCACAACAAACTCGACCAATATCTTTGTATTATCGATGCCATTTTATTTTGCTTTTGTGTTAACATGGCAGCTCTGGTGTTTCTCGAAAGGCATAGGCAGTTTGGGGGATATCTGAGGTAAGGGACACGATCTGTGCGTGAGTCGAGGATCATGTTTCAAGATTCCCCCAAACTTGTTCCACCCCATCGACTCTGTAACAGCCAGCAAATATCCAGAGGAACTATAAGTACTGCAGTCTGTGCGCAGGGAATTGCATCTAATTAATCTACGATCCTTACCAATCCCAATCTCAATCCCATTCCCCATCCTATGTAATACACCTTGTCGAGATGCCCTTGAGCTTAGACACGGCAATGGTCGGGTTTTTCTCGTCTCCTCGCCCGTCGCACCAGAGCCAGCACCCATCCTTTTAGGTCCTTCCAGAAATAGTACAGAGACAGCACAATGGCAGTGAGGCCACCCGACAAAGGAAAGAAGATCCACCACAAGGGCGCAAGAATTCTCGTGTCGCTTTGGCTACCCCCTCCGTCGCCGGAGTCGGAACCAGAGTTTGGCTGCCAGTTGAAGACGCCCATTGCGAGGAATGCCTGTTGTTGGTGTCAGCGTGTCTGCGATTATGTACCGGTAGGGTCAGTAGTCTGGTATTGGACTTACACACACAAACGTGGCCGGCAGGAAGAACATGGTCAGCAACGCAACAGCTTTCATCTTGCCCGTCTCTCGTCTGGCGATGGTGGCTATTTCCTGCGCTCGCTGTCAATATGCCACTTTTTGATGGGCTTTGTGACAGGGGTCGGTCCTTAAATTACTTACCACCTGAAAAGCCAACCCTCCAGTGGCCAATACCCCATTGCAAACCCTTATCCTCGCCTCGTATTCCCTCACCAACCTGTAGAGATACGCTCTCGGCTCCAACAAGGGCAATTTCTTCTTACCCGCCACATCTAGAGGATCCACCATCTCGTTTGGGAAGTCGTTCCCCATGCACTCCCTCAACCCCACAATCTCCCCCTTCCACAACTCAAGCTGATCCCTCAGATGCGTCACCTGCCCACAAATTCGCACCAGGCCACCGGGGTCCTCCTCATTCCTCCAGGCGTAGCGAGTCGAATCATGATTCTCGCTGACGGCGAAGTTCTCCACGAGCCTGAGCATGTTCATGCTGTGGCTGGTAACAGCATCGAATCGGTGCTTCTTTTCGATTTCGAGGAAGGTATTGATTAGCGTGAAGGGCTGGAGGGCGCCCATTCCTGCGAAACCGAGGCGGTAGTGGATAGTGCCCATCTGCTTGGGCTGGCAGCCCAGGAAGACGGCATAGAGACGCTCGACGGTGGGAAAGTAGGTGATGGAGAGGGCGAGATCCGGGTGGAGGGACACGGAGGTTCGGAGAATGTACGCTAGTAAGTGTTGGGAGGGAGAGTCAAGAGTTATAAGTGGGATATAGGTTGCTTACAGACGCAGGGCACGGCATCGCCACTGTCTTGTGGGATTGCGCACGCGATGCGGCAGATGGAATGGACGCTCCGATTGACGATGATCTGCAGCGCCTGGTGGATGTAAAACCGGGACACAACTCTCCTAAATATGTCCTCTTGGATTGGAAGATGCTTGAGCTTCGCAGGATTTGGGATGTTATTTGTACTACCCTGGCTAGGAGGGTAGGACGGAAACAAGCTGTAATTAAGGCGAAGGGCCGAAAATGTAAGTCGAGTCTGTTCAAGCAAACAGCAAACATCCTGAAGTGGTTTGTGACTTACATGATGGATACAGATGGTTTATCTGTGTGATTGCTGACATTGCTGACTTCCGGGACCTTTTGCTCCCGTAGGGTTAATAGGTGAGTCACTTCCCCGGGGGGGGGGGGGGGGGGGGGTAGGGGGGTTTAGATGCTGTGCACTTACCGCGTTTAGTTCTGCATCCCAAGCCTCTTCGGTCTCCAAATGCCTCGAGTGTATTTCTTCTTCATACTCAGGATGGGCAACACTTGGTGAATATTGAATGCTCGTTGCTATTGGCCAAACCGGGCTTTGCTGTTTCTTGGGTGGCTTGATGGGACTCCCAAACAACTGTGTTTTGTCACCTGGGCCGTGGTATTTAAAGTCGTCGTATTGGTGGTTGCGAAATTCAGGTCCTTTCCATAACAGATCCATTTTCCAGCGTTGGGTTGAGGCGCCCTGGACGGGAGGTTGAGGGGAGCTTTGCCAGGCCTAATTATGTATTGTACTGTACATACAGACGGGTGACACGGATCTTGGCTCCTTTTCTACTCGCACTCGTGAAGCGGTGCTGGCATTCTGAACTACCTACCTATCCCAAAGCATGCCAGCTGGCAGATACCAATAGGTGTGGCAACGTGTAACCAGTCATTGACCTGCAGCCCTACTTGTTTGGGCCGCAACCACAGCAGCCCGAGTGCACTAACCGCATCGTGCAGCTCATCATTTGGCTACAGGAGATCGTGAAGCATCAAAAATAGGTGGACAGACTCAACCAGAGATTTGTTTTCCATCGGTACCACGGAGGACCGACCGGGCGGCTTCTTTAAGCTCGGGCTCGAACCCCAAAACCTCAACGCGGACACCATGTGCTTCGGGAACAAACCATCGGCATCACCATCGCCGCCCGCGCCAACGAGGCCCGTGCGGCCAGAGGTGGTACACTCGCGGTCCACCACAGGTCCCAAGCGGAGTGGGCAGCAGCCAGTATCCAGGCTTCCCGTTAGAGCATTCCCTCTTGAGATGGCATATGCCGACCTGGATGGCATCTGGAAGGTCTTGGACTCCATTTATGGCGGCCGTGACGGGTATCATCTCTCGGTGGGTTCTCGACGGACAATCGCAAGTAATTATAACAAGTTCCTTCGCTAATGTGCTAATCTTTCCGTCGTCCAGGTCTTGGGAGACAAGTATGTTCTGCGAGCCCGACGCTCCTTGAGCCTAGTAAGTGGTGAAATTTCAGCTCCAAGGCCCGAACACCTTGGTCTAATAAGACGTGCCGGAACAGAGCGAGGCAGAAAGTGTCAGGGTTTATGGGTATCGTCATTATCCGCAGCACAACTAGGGCTATGAGCGTAGCTACTACAAGATCAATATATACAAGGTTGCATATTTTGCAGATTTTATTGCCTCCTGTACGTCTCTTACACCAAGACCCACTCGGCAATACAATTCTGCCTTTAAGAGGCCTGCCGTTGTCTCCTAGATGTATATTCCTCTTCCCAGTCAGTGGGCCTCGGGCGTGTGTCAGTGTGATAGCCCTTGTTGCGTTCCGCGGCATTTTTCATCTCGTCAAGACATCGCACCACGGGCCCGATCCGGTACCTCACATTACCATTATTGAGATCCTCGTGGTTAACCACGAGCATGCCGTCCTTGATGAGGTCGAGGAAGTCTCGTATGAACTGTGTGCATTTCGGATGTTCGAGGAGTTCCTGGATACGCTGGGGTTGTAATTACTTCTTAGTAAACCGCGTAGAGACCTCTCTCGTTCCTCCTCTTCGCCAAGATATGTAATTTACTCATTGCTGGAGAGAACTCAAATTGGTACTCACCTCTTTCACCGCTGGGTTCACACTGGCCTGCCGATTCTGCTTGTCCCTAACAGTAACACGATTTATGATGTAAAACGTATCCGAGGGAATATCGTTGTCATCTCTTTCGGCAACTTTGGTGAGACGCTCTTGTGAAAAGTCTCCCGCTCCTGGGCCTAGGACGATGTAGCTGACGAACTCGAGAAACACGCAGCCGAGACTCCAGATGTCAAAGGCGCGCGACTTGGTTGTGCCTAGTTGGGACTCGGGGGGACGGTAAGTTTTAGTGTGGGCGCCGAGTATGGCGGCCGATCTGGATTCAGTGTGGTGGAATGTGGAAATTCCGAAGTCGGCGAGCTTTAGGATGTCGTTCGGGGAGGTTTGGGGAGCTGAGGAGCCGAACCACAGAATGTTTTCGGGCTTTATGTCCGAATGGATTCCGTAAATGGCCTCAGGCGTGTCCTGGCTTCCTTGTGAGCCCGCCTCCATACTGCCAGCGGTGTCTATCTGGCCGACTCTTGGATCAATACCATGCACTATTCTGAGAGCTTGGGAGATGCCGAGACATTGCTCTAGGGCCCACTTGCTAAGGTCTTCCTGTGTCCCGTTATGGCTGGAAGCCCAGGAGTTTCGCAGGTTCCCAGTGGCGAGCGGGAAGACCAGGAGGTACTCTGTGGGGTATGTGAGTTGACCAAGCAGCTCCACAGTAAAGAGCAGTTCGATGATGTGTCCGTGAGGGCGCCTACTAAGCCGTTCGAGATTCGCAACCTCGTGCCTGAAGTCGTCGGCGTTGTCCGACCTGAGATGCTTGACGGCGAAGCGCTGGGTAGAAATGTTAAAACTATACTCGCGCAAACATAGGTAGGTGGCGTGTTAGTCGGGGTGGATGCCTACCGAGTGACTGAATCTATTGTGGGCTGCGTGGATCTTGACACGCTTAACCTCGCCGTAATGGCCGGCCATGACACTTCCTGGCAGATTCCCACTGCGGATTTCCTTGAACGGCAGAGGTCGAAGATATGGGACAGAGTAGTGGCTGGCCGTTTGCCCATGAACGCTCGGTGCAAACACTGGAGCCAGAACTCTCAATTGGGATTTGTAGAGCTCCTGCCTGTCGGCTAGGTCCCAACCTTGTGCCTCAAGGAACTGCAAAGGCTGTTCTTTGTCCCGGGCCGAGTAGAGTCGCTTGCGGTGATCTTGCACGAGCGGGAGGTCGCCGTTGTTGATCTTGTTATCGAGAAACTGCTCTAGCTGTTTGAACTTTTTCATGATAATGAGAATCGCGAGGATCCGATCGTAGGCCACTTCATCTCCCTTCTCAAACTTCCTCTCACAGCTACGACCGCATATATCACGTGAGAGCTGCTCGTAGTGAGACTGTTGAAGCTCGCTATCTCCGAGGCAAGCGGGAAGCATCGCTGCTACAGCCTTCTCGTTTAGGATTTTGACTAGTTCGTCGATTGGGATATATGCAGTCGCACGCGTGTAGCCCGGTTTGGTGGCTTTCGTAAGAGCATCTCGGGCTCTCTGCAACTCCGCTAGCGGTGAGAGATCTGCGGTTGCGTCAGACTCTGTCGAGTAGCTATGGTCATCTTGTCGGTTTGTAACCCCCTGACTGCGCGATGGGGTGGTAATGCTGGTGCTGCTGGATTGCACTTGGGCTGGGGTAGTGTGAGTTGAGCCTTGGTTCTGGTCAGGGCTCTGCTCACTGGTATCGGTGTGGTTGTATTCTGAACCACTCTGGCCTGCCCTTTCTCTCTCACTCTCTGCTACCCTTTCTCTCTCACTCTCTGCTACCCTTTCTCTCTCACTCTCTGCTACCCTTTCTCTCTCACTCTCTGCTTCCATTTCTCTCTCCCTCTCTGCTGCCCACTCTCTTTCCCTCTCTGCTTCCATTTCTCTCTCCCTTTCTGCTGCCCAATCTCTTTCCCTCTCTGCTGCCCACTCTCTCTCTCTCTCTGCCGCCTCTTGTCTTTCTCTTTCCCTCTCTGCTGCCCTTTCTCTTTCCCTCTTCCTTTTTCTCTCTCTTTCCTTCTCCCTCTCCCTTTCCCTTTCCTTCTCCTTCTCTTCCTTCTGTTTACTGAAATTGCATCCCATTTTATCCAAGATGTTGATTAAGAGTCGGTTTTTGGTGCTGTAGAACAGGTGAGTCCCAGATGAGCAGTCATATTCGTGGATAGCAACTGGCCAAAAGCAGAGTTTCAAAAGGCGGTTGCTTGGGTAGGAACGGGCCCGAAGGTGGGGGATATTTAGCTGCTGGGCATATGCATTTGCAATGCGTCTATTGGCTACTCAAAAAGAGACCAGGGCCACGCAAATGCCCGCCAGAGAGAGCACCCAGTGATGTTGATGTGTCCAAGCCACTTTTGACCCACAGAAGCCCTCTTCATTTTCTTGCCTTGTTCCCCCTCTTCGGCTGTTTCTGCGCGCTCGGAGTCGATTTGACCAAGACTTGGTCTCTCTCAGGCTGGGGGTCAATCAGCATCGAACACATGCCCCAGATCTAATTACCCCTCACGAGGGGCCAGCGCAACTCACATCTGTTAGCAGCCTGGGAGCATGCACAAGGTACCGATCGTTCCGCAACTCTACTCTCCATTTTCCCTTGCCAAACCTCCTTTGTAGCAGTGTCTTTAAGTTGCGTTCCATCACGCGGGCCGCTGGCAATTCCGTTAAAACCCATGGAACTGGTTGTGGTAGAGGCGGTTGGCTCTTTTGTCCTTTCTGTCCTTTCTGTCCTTTCTGTCCTTTCTTGCCGCCGCCGAAACACATGATAGCAACGAGTTGGTAGTTGGTGTGTTGTGAAAGAGGGCTTATGCTGTAAAGAGGATCTGGGCCTCCTCGCTTATCAGCCCAACTTGGGAAAGCGCTTCCTTAAATTCTCCTGGCGCTTGTGCCGCGCGGTCCCTTGATTGGTGGCATACATGACTGTGCCATCCGGAGCCCAGCACGTCTCGGATCGCGTGTGATTCGATGACACGCTCGGGCTACTGCATTACAGTATGACACGGGAGCAATTCCATCATGATACCACATTAAACCCCGGTCCCTGGCCAATTCTAAGCTGTCTGCATTTTTTTTATCGCGGTTCATTTGTTACCCCCTGAAAATGGGTGTGTCATGAATCGCTGCCTGAAAATACCTACCACCAGACAAGCTCAAATTCTTGATACTAAAAGGAAAAGGGGTGAAAAGTTGTGGCACGTGCAAGGTCACGTGGAGGGCGGACATTTTTCAGAGTACCTAACGTAGAGACGGCATGCAACCACGTACTCTTCCAATAAAGCCCTGATCTTCCTTCTTGTGTTTGTATTGTTGTTTTGCGCTAGCATGTGTTCCATAGGCAAGATGGCGGGTCAGTTCAAGCTTCTTGATCCCCATGGGAGAGATATGGCTTGCTCGTCGGGATGAACGAGGCCCATCGTTGGTGCGCGATCTTCGACGTGGTGGACAACAGACCACCATCGCAATGTCTACTCAAATAGCGAGCAAGCACCGAATTAGCAGCATTTATTCATGATAGAGAAGGCCTTACAAGTGTCTGCTAGACCCCCGACATGCAGTCAGATAATGAGGTGACACGGGTGGAGGACTTGAGCAGAAGACGGATGGATTACCATAATTCTCAGCTGGGGAGGAGGAAGTGTCAGACCACACGCGTGTGTTTGAACCATGGCGGCGGCTATAATTATGCTGCGAGTTGCGTAGGTAGTCGCTAGCACCATCCCTTGCTACACAGATGCGCCCATTTCCATATCTCAGCTTCCAAGGTAACTTCTTGTTGCTAAGTTCACCGCTGAGGATGATGTAAGGTATCACCTCCATGTGCCAGGGCTCGATGCAGAACTACGCCGGAATCCTCGCTTGCCGCTTCTTCCTAGGCATTGCTGAGGCTGGATACTACCCTGGTGTCTTGTATCACCTTAGCTTTTGATATCCAACCGAGAAACTACCACTGCGAATAGTGAGTCTGATGCTTCAGAGCCGACAAAGGACAATCTCCAGAATCTCTAGACTGATGCTAGCCAGGAATTCTTCAAGGGTTGCGGCATATTCGCGGTGACGATTAGTGGACTCCTGGGTGAGTGAAGTTTGCCTTTCTAACCGATGTGCCTATTTCTAATCGAAGCGACTAGCATCGGCAGGCCTGGCGATTGGGATTACAAACGTAAGCTATTACTCTTAGTTTGGAAGAACTCTAGGTATTATCGGAACTGTTGCTGACAGAATTGTTCCAGGCGTCCTGCCACTGCTCAATCGGCCTGCTTTGCGCCACCCTGGTTGCCGTATTATCCGCTTCATGGTATTTCGTTGCAAGGGAAGACCGGAAGGTAGTAAAATTGCAGAGTGGAGTGGGCGAGCCAGACACAGAGACTGGGGTCTGTGAAAAGACGGTGGCCGTCGCGTGAGCGAACTTGACCCAACTCTTCGGCTGATACCGGCGGGAGACTGCGAACCAGGAACTGGTCGATGTTGAGCAAGGAGGTCTGCACAGTGCAGAAAGCAGCGCCGGGCTAGGCTTTAATTACAGATGTAGGCATTGCCCAAACCGTTCTGGGTGTGGCTTTACCTAGCTTGTGGACCACAGGCAGACAGGTGTCGTCGGTCGTGGGGGTTGCCTGCTCCAGCTTGGACGAAGCTGAACTTTTGATTGCGTCCTTAGGTCCTTGGTGGCCACGTCCACATTTGCGACGTAAGGAATATCCATTTATTGATATTAGCGTAACGCTATGGTGCCTTGCGTGCGTGCATTGCGTCCGGGCCCAACCCGTTTCAGCAGACAGGAGTCGGGCGAGGTTACTGTGCCGCGAACAGCGCGAGCAGGTCCAATGGTAGTGATGAGCCGATCACCCGACCATACTGTGTAGGAGTTTCCACGACTTGAACAGATTCTAAAAATGGTCATCCACGGCCAATGAAGCTGAGAGAAATCCCATCTTGGATGGTTCGAGAACCTTGATGGCCTCGCTACCCACGCTTAAATCTTCCACGGCGGCGCTACACATGTATAAGCACATTGAACGGCAGCCAATTAGAGGTGAGGGTATTGCAAAGTCGCCGGCCATCAAGGTGCGCAACATGAACTTTGAAGGTAGTAGAACGGATTACTCCGTACAGTATGCGTAGGTAGGTAACTAGTGAGTGATATTGATGTCTCCGATAACCCCACGGCATAGACTCGGGTTCCTGCGAATCAGACGAACCGAACCAGCCATCTGGGACTGCTGAATTTTTCCATCGATCCTCCATCCTCCACCCTCCATCCCACGTTGTCCTCTTCATAAATGGTCCAGCTTGGCAGCTTGTCTTGGCCTCTTGTCTTCTGCGCCTCCTCCCGTCTTATGCTGTGTAGCCAAGATCTTGGTGTCAAAATAAGCTTTCACTCAACCTCGTCTCGTCCCATTCCGTCAATGCGTCACACGCTATGGACAACTCCACCTTTGACCCGACCAATGTCGACCTCGACACGGCCGATCCAACCCAAATCATCTGCTATTTATATGCCGGTGGCAATGACTACGACGGCCGCCTGGGGGCTCGCATCTCGGCTCTTTTTGTGATCCTCATTGTCTCGACCTACGCCACCTTCTTCCCCGTCTTGGCAACGCGTGTGAAGCGCTTCCACATCCCGCGCTATGTCTATCTGTTTGCCCGCTATTTCGGCGCCGGTGTCATTATTGCCACTGCCTTCATCCATCTCCTCGATCCGGCTTACGACGAGATCGGCCCCAGCTCATGTGTCGGCATGACCGGGGGCTGGGCCGTCTACAGCTGGCCCCCTGCCATCGCCCTGACTTCCATTATGGCCATCTTCCTCCTCGACTTTTTCGCCGAGTGGTATGTCGAGGGCAAATACGGCCATTCGGCTGTGCATCCGCACCACGATGTTGAGCACACGGTTACGGCAGGCGGTACAGCGGCGAGTGACGCTACACATGACGATGGCAATGGCCACGGGAACAACCAGGACCTCGAATCTGCCCACCAATCCCGAAGCGTATCCGAGAAAAAGCTCGACGTCGACGAACTGGATGTCCTGTCCGGTTCGTCAATAGAGATGGAGCGGGCATTCCACGAGCAAATCGCGGCCTTCCTCATCCTCGAATTCGGTGTCATATTCCACTCCGTCATCATCGGCTTGAATCTTGGCGTCGCGGGTGAGGAGTTTGCCCAGCTATACCCCGTTCTTGTCTTCCACCAAAGCTTCGAGGGCTTGGGTATCGGCGCCCGGCTGTCTGCCATCCCCTTCCCGCACCGCCTTCGCTGGATGCCATGGGCTCTGTGCACCGCGTACGGGCTGACAACCCCGATTGCGATCGCCATAGGCCTGGGTCTCCGGACTACATACAACGGTGGCTCCTTCACTGCCAACGTTGTCTCGGGTGTTTTCGACTCCATCTCGGCTGGTATTCTGATCTACACCGGGCTGGTCGAACTGCTGGCGAGGGATTTTCTGTTCAATCCCAACAGGACTCGAGACAAGAGACGTGTTCTTTCCATGCTTTTTTCTCTGTTGTTGGGTACTGGGGTGATGGCTTTGTTGGGAAAGTGGGCTTGAACGTACCGAGATGCCACGAAAAGGACTATGAGCCCTAGCAGAGTAGGATGCTAGAGGCGAGCAGCTGGAGACCAAGAAGGAAAAGGATACCCAACCTTAGTTAGAAACATACAGGACATTGCGACAGGATCTAGGATAAAGTCACGGGCAGTAATGATGGAATTTCTGGTTGCAACCCGACGTTGTCGTAATTGTAGTCTTAAAGACAGGAAAGAAAGAAATAAGCATCAGTTCTCCAGAAGGTATCCCAAACCACAAGACCACTCAACTCCTCTCCACCCGGCTCCTCCGCAAACCAACCCGCCTAACACTTCCCATTGTTTGGATCAATCCTGTAGCAGTATAACCGTGGTTCTGCTTGCTTCCATGGGCGCGGGCGCCCCTGTCCATCTCAAAATAGTATTCATCGTAGCTGATACCGGTCATCTCCTTCGTTGTTCTTGAGCACCATCTCCAACCTGTCCTTGCTGTTGTTCTCGGGAATGGGTAACAATAGCTGCCAAAGCGGCTAAAGGCGCGTGGAATCCTAATCCCGGCTCTGATTCGATCGCTAATGAGGGCTATGGTAATGTTGAGCGACGCAGTCTGCCCCACACCATATGCATCGAAGGATAATCGGATGGTGATTAGCCTGGTATGACTGCCTCCTTCAACGGCGTAAGTAGATACAACCGGGAGATGATCGCGGCCGAAGTCGGAAAGACGAGCTGCCACGTCCTGCTGGACCCCACTCTGTGATTGTACCGGCGGCTCCTCATTTCTTCATTGAGCGTGAGTTCCATGCATTCGGCGAGGATGCGTTGTTAATTAAGTGGCACCCTGACGTCCGTCCACGTTAACGGGACACCTGACGTAATGCTCCGAGACGCATCGAGCATGGCGCCGAATGACTAAAAAGTGCTAATCAGGTATCCACTAGCACAACTAATCCGTACTGGATCACTGATTTGAGGGGGTGGAGGAACCTTTTGTACTTCGAGGATTCGACTTTCGAGCTCTCGCAAGCAAACCTCACTCAATATCATGCTCCCTGGCAAAACCCCATCTCCCTCATTCTGCAGCGGACAGGGTGCATTATTATGGAAAGCTTCATCTTCCCCTATCTCCGGAACCGGAATGGAAGCGGATCTTGCTCCACAGCATATTGTAATGCTCATGCACTTTGCTCAGGGTGCAGCAGGTCTGTGCGTGGCAAGGTGTGACAGAGCCAGAGTTTGTATGCAGCATCACCAGCCACGCCGCGCATCGTCGAGTTGTAAGCTTAAGCAAAGCGGACGTAAATTTTATCAATAATTATCGGAAGCGACAGCCCAATCCACTAGGTAATTACGCAGCGAGATATAAAGAGGACGGGGAAAACAGAAAAGGCTCACTGCCATTGTGGCGGCCTCTTCTCAAGAAACGCAGAAACACCCTCGACCTTGTCCTTAGTACCAAACGCGAAATAATACATACTTCTTTCAAACTCATCATCCCTCCCCAAATCGTCAGCTGTGGGCCGGGGGGCAACATGGTTAGTAAGCGTGACAATGGCAACGGGACCCTTATTGACGGGGTGGGGGGGTGGGGGGGGGTTGGTTGCTAGCCTTACCGCGAGAGATGGTCTCTTTAGCAAGGGCTATTGCCGAAGAGCTCTGTTCTGACAACCGGGCCGCGACCTCAATAGCGTGACTGAGCACGGTCCCAGGCTCTGAGAGGCTGGCGACTAGGCCGAATGCGGAGGCCTCATCACCCCTGATGTGATCGCCAAGCAGGATCATCTTCATCGCCTAGGTTCCAACGAGGTTAGTATGTACATACATGGGGGAGCCACCCTGGTGGCGGGGCAAGGGTGCATCCCCCACACTCACTCGGAACTTTCCCACGGCATTGGTCAGTCGCTGTGTACCGCCTGCCCCAGGGATCAACCCAATGTTGACTTCCGGAAAGCCAAACTTTGCGGTGGCTGAGGAAAAGATCATGTCACACTCGGGATCGTCAGCTAAAAACGCCACACACAGGACACACAGGACACACAGGGGGGGCGGAGGGTGGGTTTGGGGTTTGCAAAATGTGACGACTCACCATGAGCGCAACCTCGAAGCCCCCGCCGAGCTAAGGCCGCCCCCCGTTAGCTTTCTCTGGTTCGACCAACGTCCTTGGCACCAAACTACCAACCGCCATGCCCTCCACCGCTGCGATGACGGGGACCTTGATGCTGCGCATGCCATGGCAGAGGTTCTCCAGATACCGGCATCGTCGGGCACCCTCTCCATCCATGCGGGCGATCTCCTTGATATCCGCTCCAGCTAGAGTTTCTGTCAGAATTCGCATTTTCATTTTCCTGCGAGGCGGGCGGGCGGGGTCACGATACTCACCTGAGAAAGCGGTCTCGTTCCCTGTGACCACGATGACTCTAACCTCGGGTTCCGACGATGCTTTGAGCAGCTCGTCGAGAAACTGCTGGATGAGGTGCTGGGAGAGCGCGTTTCGCTTCTCAGGGCGGTTGAAGGCAAGCACGCGCACCTTGGGCGTTGGTGCAGAGACGACGACGAGGCAAGGTTCGATTCCCTCTGCGGTGCTGCTGTGAGACATCTCGATCTGTTGTTGGCAGTTCTGTGACTGTCTGTGACTGTCTGTGACTGACTAGTCGGCAACCTCGTGATGGGGAGCGGTCAGCGCGGGATGGGATCTATGATGAAGTATTCCGTAGTCGACAGATATCCCGAACCAAAGTGTAGGTTTAGGTTACATGTGAACACTTGATTTTTTATGGAGGGGGCTGGGCCCCCCCTGGCTCCCGACGATCCTTTGATTAGGTAGCTCGTCGCTAGCGTGGTGTGTTGCAGATCCCGTAGGCCTTATGCCCAGATGATCGGCGTTGATCGACGCAGGGAGCGGTGGCCACTGCTGCTGGGCACCTCCAGCTGGGTACCCAATCAATGCTGGCGAAGATTGGGGAAACCTAAAGTGATAAGACGGTGCAAGACATGATTGGCTGTTCCGGCAACTAGGCTAGCGCCCAACGGGGCGAGCTATAAACTACTGGTACCTTGGAAAGACATGTCAAAATCCAAATTCCCTTTCCATACCAGCCTTTGGATCTAGGGATGGTCCAGAAGGTACCCGAGCTTTCTCCAGGGGTCGCGGGCCGAAAGGGCTGGATTCGCACGCCTATTTGCCAATGTTGAGGTCCAGAATCTCAGACACAAATTAAGCGCCTGTCATTTCTCCCTCGCACCGGGCACTTGTCACGGCTTCTGAACGCTTCCTCGGCCTCGGATTCAGCAGGACAGGGATTCGAATCTGGTGATCGGAAAAGGTCACACTGTTGGATGAGCCGTCGAGTGGAGCCGTGAATACTCCCGAGAAGGCAAGTGGGCGGTGTTTGCGGCGAACTGTTGCCGAACTGGTGGTAATTTGTGTGTTCAAACCTGCTGATGTCATCCTTACACCTTTTCTCGATATTGACATTCCGTGTAGCCCAGGAAACGACCTTCGCCTCACCCCTTCCATCATTTGCCCTGAGCGGTCACCGAGTGTGTGTCAATTGCGTGCCCCTTGTTAAGACAGTAATTATTTCTCCATCCCTGCCTCCGTAGTGTTGTCGTTCGTCGGCCACATACCGTGAGCTGATACAAATGACCTCCTCAACCTTGCTGCCAAACCGTTGGGGCGGGAGGATACCGCATTCGGAAGGTGCCCGCAGTTGCACCGCGAACGTGGACTTCCCGGCCTGCCAAACCTGCTTGACATTGTGAAGCCCGACCGAGTGACCGAGTTCGGACGCATGCATTCAGCTGACCCCGTCCGATCGTCGACCATTCTAATGCATGTTGGTCCAAGACTGCACACCATGGATGGTCCGAGGTGGGCTGGCGGAGCTGAAAGGCGGATCGGGACTATTGGGATACAATGGTCCAAGGGGGAGGGGGGGACGACAAAGCTGCAGGCTCCAAGGCAACTAGCTCTGTCCATCTGGAGCATTTATATCCTTCACCGCTCACCACTCCAGGCCCCCCGCTTCCTCGACCAAGGGCATGTCTCCATCCTCCTCTTCTATCTCAAGACCCAAGTCACACTCACCCTCACCCTGTGCAGCTCCAAGTCACCATGTCCCACAACGCTGTCGACGGAGCTGACCCCCCCGCCCACCCCGGGATGGAGGGGCGGCTGCCAGGACAGCACTTCACCAACGGCTTAAACGTGGCCCCCCGGTTCCCCACTGTCACCGCAGCCATCATGCACCACATCCGCACAATCTCCGACGACGTGGCCGTCATAGACCACGCCGGATCCGGACACCTCCAGTTCAGCTACGCGGAACTCGGCCGGCGCTCAAGACACTTGGCGCACTCCCTTCGACGCGCCGGCCTGTGCCGTGGCGACAGGGTTCCACTAGTGGTCAAGCGCGGCATCGACATGGTCGTCGGCATCGTGGCTATCCTCCGGTGCGGCGCCCAGTACGTTCCCCTCGACGGCGGTGTGGCCCCTAAGGAAACACTCCAGAGGGTCATGGAGCAGTCCGGCGGTAAGGTCGTCGTGTGCCTTCAGTCGACAGTGCACCGGCTTGGCGAGCTCACACTCGGGGGCTCCCAAGTTGTCGTCATCGACCAGGAAACCACCAGTAGCCAGGATGAAGACGACCGCGACGATACAGAGGCCGAGGAGTCCACGACGGCAGACAGCGGATGCTATGTAATATACACCTCCGGTTCGTCAGCTGAGAAGCCTCCCTCCCCCCCCCCCCCAAAAAAAAAGGCAAACACATTGCCGGACCGCAGACCATTAACAGAAGATTGTGCAGGTACTACGGGGGCGCCGAAAGGAGTGGATGTGACGCACGGCAATGTTGCCAACTTGGTCTGCTCGCATCCAGGCAACCTCGGAATCCATCAGGGGGTTCGCGTGGGGCAAGTGTTGAACGTTAGTTTTGACATGGCCGCGTGGGAAATTCTAGGATGCCTCTGCAACGGTGGCACGCTGGTCTTGCGAGGGTCTGACTGGGTGGAAACACTGAACCAGGTAAGTTTGGAAATATCTGTGATGATCGCCCCTCAAACCCCAGTTTCGGGATTCTGACCCCCCTTTCTTCCCCTTAGATAAACGTACTTATCTGCACACCTTCCATCCTCTCCCAGTATGAGCCACAGCAGTTCCATAATCTCAGAACCGTCGCGACAGCCGGCGAGCCCGTCAGCCAAAAGTAAGTGTCGCCACCTACAAAACCCCGTGTGGTCTTCCTACCCGGACTTACCTAACCTTGGACCAGGACGGCGGATTTATGGGCATCCTACCTGACCTACTACAATTGCTGTGGGCCAACAGAGACAACGATTGTGAACACGATGCAAAGGCACATCCCTGGGGAGCTACTTTCGATTGGCAGGCCAACCCCAAACAACCGCGTCTACATCCTGGACGAGGACCTGAACCAGGTGGCCATCGGCCAGGCCGGCACAATGTGGGCGGGCGGAAAGGGGGTATCCAGGGGATATGTTGGCCTCCCAGAGTTAACGCGCCAGAGATACCTCCATGACAAGTTCGCCAATGACAGGTTCGTGTCCGGAAATGCATGTCGTCTCATGGAAATCTGCGGGTTGCTAACTTGATTCCCGGCAGGACGAAAATGTACAATACCGGCGATATTGGCCTCTGGAATCCAGATGGAACCATCAAGATCCAAGGGCGCTGCGACGACCAGGTAAAGATCAAGGTGAGCAACCGGGCACAATGAGCGGCAAAAGATAAAGGGCCTGTCTAACGCCTGAACCAGGGTTTCCGGGTCGAGTTGGATGGTGTTACATCATCCATATCCACGGCCGCCGGGGTCACCAAAGCCGCAACACTCATGATCGGCGGAGAACTTCATGCGTTCCTTCAGCCTTGTTCCTGCGACGTTTCGGCCGTCCGCGAACACATCGAGCCCATTCTACCTTATTACGCTTGTCCCGCTCACTACCATGTTCTTGAGTCCTTCCCGTTAACACGGAATGGCAAAGTTGACAAACCCGCCCTTCGGAAGTTGGCCGAGGATGGCAGCGATTCCGACTCGACAGCGGGCTCGACAGTGGGCTCATTCGATCACCCAACCGACTATCCGACCAAGCCAGCTTCTACTACTACCACGGTCTCGGTGATCCACGAGAAACCTTGCGGAGACGACGACTCCCGGAGTTCCGCCACCCTCGGGGTCTACGGCTCGGACTCAAGCGTGTCCGGACAGAAGGACGAGTTTGACCTCAACGACCCAATTCCGGAAAAAGGGCTTCCGCAACCATTCAGGGGTCTGCTGTACCGAATCTTCATCCCCTACCGCTTCCTATTTTCCGTCGTTTGGATGGCAAACGCTGCGGCAGTCGTTGCCGTGTATCTGAAGGGAGGCAATCGCGAATGGCTCGGCAATATGGTCGCGGTCAACCTGGTGGTGGCCGTCCTCATCCGCCAGGACTTTGTCATCAACGCCTTGTACACCATATTCTGCTCGGTGCCAAAGTCGTGGCCCCTCTGGATCCGCGCCCCGTGCGCCAAGATCTACCACCTTGGCGGCGTCCACTCCAGCGCAGCCTCGTGTGCCGGTCTGTGGCTACTGGCGGCCAACATCAACGACATCGTCTGCCTGACAATGGAGACTTGTCCCGACTACCCGCCGCACTCTCCCGCCTTCGTAGTCTTCTCCTGGGTGCTGACGGCCATGTTCTTCACCATGCTCGGCTTCGCCTGGCCGTCGTTCAGGAAGGCCAACCACAACTTCTTCGAGCGGTGGCACCGCTTCATGGGCTGGACGATGCTCGCGTTCTTCTGGACCCAAACCCTGATCGGCATCAGCGACGCCGCCCGCGAGAGCTCCACCCCGTTCGGCGCGGCCGTGGTCTCCTCGGTGCCCTTCTGGCTGCTCATCGTGGCGACCACCAGCGTGGCCCTGTCGTGGTTCTGGCTGCGCCGCGTCCCCGTCACATCCGAGGTGCTCTCCGACCACGCCGTGCGCCTGCACTTCGACTACACGGTTCCCGTGAACGGCAGCTTCGCGCGGCTCTCCTTCCGACCCCTCGTGGAGTGGCACTCGTTCGCGACGATCCCTTCGCCGTCGGCGCACGGCCCTACGCACAGCCCTTCGCAGTTCCCTCGGGGGTATTCGGTGGTGGTGTCCAACGCGGGCGACTGGACGCGGCGGTGCATCACGCACCCGCCGCGGCACGTGTGGGTGCGCGGGGTTCCGACGTGCGGCGTGATGCGCATCGCGACGCTGTTCAACCGCGTCGTCGTCGTGGCCACGGGCTCGGGCATCGGCCCTTGCCTCGGGCACCTGCAGTCGCCCAGCTGCGCCACGCAGCTCGTCTGGAGCACGCGCGACCCCGAGCGGAGCTTTGGCCCGGACATGGTGCGCGCCCTCAGGAGGTCCATCCCCGATGCCGTCATCTGGGACACCAACAAGCTTGGCCGGCCCGACATGCTCGGGCTGAGCTACAACCTGGTGAGGCAGTTCGGGGCCGAGGCCGTCATCGTTATTGCCAATGAGAAGATCACAAAGAAGATTGTATATGGGCTGGAGACGAGGGGTATTTCTGCTTATGGGGCTATCTGGGACAGTTAGGGAAGTTGTACAAAGTATTTCCTTGGGCGGAGGAGGGGGGTTGATTGATTGATTTGTTTATTTATTTCATAGTGGATTTGTAGGTTCCTAGGCAGGTCGACTTGTAGCTACCAATAAGGCGCTGAATATATGTCTGTCTGCTCTTCTCGTATGTTTTGACTCTCCGCCACCGGCATGTAATCCTCTGCGCCTCTTCTCGTGACTTGGCCGTTACGGAGAAACTGGTTCAGAGTCCAGTCCGCCCAAACTTTCGGAACTTGGAGACGTACCCAGTCTTCTTCCTGCAATGGTTGGAGACGGCCCAACTCTCCCGTTTGAACGCAAAGACGTGTCAAACAGACCATGCCACATCGTACGAGAATGCAGGATTGTCGTAAATAAAGAGAAACGTAACAACCTCGGAGTGGTGGGTGTTGGGGGGTGTTCGACGTTTCAATGTTCCTCTGGTCTTGCCACGACACACGGGAGGTGGCAAAATTGTGGTTGCTCAAAGTAACGCGTGCTCAGGTCATTGATGTTGTAGCTACCTATACAACAACCTTTCTCTCTTCCTCGACGGCGGTGGCAACATTCTCCTCGCCGTGGATTTGCTTCTCGACGGCGGCAACGGCCTGGTCGGCAAGCGCCTTGTCCTCGAACACTGTCACATTGCATGTTAGAATGCAGATCTCGAAGCAGGGTGGGATTATTCAGACCTAGGAGCACTTACAGAATGCCAGTTCTTCCAGAGTACGTCCCTGGGTCTCGGGGTAGAAGACGAACTGGAAGAGGAACTCAAAGGTGATCCAGCCGCAGTAGATGGCGAGGAACTTCCAGTCGAGGGCGGTCAGGGCAATAGGGTTGACATTGTTGGAGAAGAACCCGCCAATCTTGCCGAATACCTGTTCGACGCCAATTCCGCGGCTTCGTTCGGCATAGGGGAAGAGCTCCACGAGATAAGCTGCATCTCACGTTAGCAAGGCCACCTAGGGATGAGAAGAAGCGAGAAGGGGGTCGTACTATAGGTGAGCGCATTGTTCCCGACATTGTAGGTGGGTGAATAGGCAAAGTAGAAGATGAGCGCGGCAATTGATGCTGCTCCATTAGTCATGTTGTTGTCCTTGGCAAATCTCAGTCTCTCAAAGGAAACGGTCATGGAGATGAACACCAAGAGCATGCATATGGAGGAACACATGAACATGTGCCGACGCTTGAACCGGGTAACAAGCAGGGCAATGATAGTGCTGTTGATCAAACCCCAGCAGTTGTTGGCGAGGTTGATCCTGGTCTTGGCGTAGCTGCTCGTGTATCCCATCATCTCGAACAAGAGGTTGGAGTAGTATGAAAGCAGTGTGTTGCCCGACATCTGAGTGAACAGCCCGAGCATGGCCGCGATGAGCACGCGGCGGCGCATTCCAGCAGTGGCGACCATATCCATCCAGGACTGTTTAGAGTGCGCCAACTCTAGCTGGATGGTCGACTTGATCTGCGCCATCTCCGCCTTTACCAGCACCGAATCTGCATCCCCCTCGGCATGGTATTTGACCAAGACGGCAAACGCCTCGTCGTCTCGGTCCTTGCTGATAAGCCAACGCGGGCTCTCTGGCAGCAAGCTGTGCCCATGTTAACCCTCCTAACCCCTCCTCACCGTGGCGTTTCTCTGGGGGAGACCTACAAAACGATTGAGATCTGCAACAAGGACGGGCATATCTGGAGGATCGACGGCACCCTCCAACTCCAGTCGTTCTTGATCTCCACAGTCGCCAGCGCAATAGCTGAAGCAACAATGGAGCCAATAAAGTAAGAGCTATTGAACTGTGTGGGAGGGGGGGGGGAAATAAGTTAGTTTCCAAGATTATTGATGAGAATGTCTCGGGAGGGGGGAGGGGGGAGGGGGGGTGAGATGGGCATTTCAGGGGGTAAATTATGTGCGTCACAGTCACAAGTGCCAAGGGGCTAGGTGGCAGGATGTGTATTCAAGATTGAGAAAGTCAAAAAAGCCGAATAAGTAATTACCAATGAGGTCAAGACAGGGCGCTCCTTGGGGTATCCGAGTTCTCCAATCATGGCAGATCCGGAGATGATGCAGAAGACGATGCCGAGGCCGAGAAGCATGCGGGCAATGATGTACATGGCCACTGCGGCAGGTCAGCCAGCTGGAAAGGTGTTCGGGTTCAGAGTCTACCTGTCAGCTAATTACTTACCATGCTGAGAGAACCCCTGGAGGATGGAGCCAGCACACATGATGAGGGAGCCCAACATGATGGACCACCGTCGCCCATAGCGCTGATTGAGCCAAGGGGCGATGGGAACGCCAATGATGGAGCCAAGCTGATAGCAAGAAGAAATGAACCCCAGGAGTCCTGGCTCAATTGAGGGTTGATCCGTGATGGGATTTCGATATCCTGCCCCAAAGTCTATGCATGTCAACAACACTCAATAATTAATTACTGCGAGGGCAGGATAGCGCAGGACATCACAGGACAGGGTGGCCCTTACACTTATTGAAAGGCGGAGAAAACTGCAAGACGTTGATCAACTGCGAGTCGAAGCCCGAGGTCATCTCGACGCCCATGCAGCAGAGGAATAGCCACAGGTACAGGATCCTCAGGTTGGGCTTCTTGTACCACGACACCTTATCCTCGGCCACCATGCGCGACAGGATAGGGTCCGAGGTGCCATCGGAAGCAGAGAGGATACCCATCTTGGAGGCGAGAACTGGCGTGTGTGTGTGTGTGTGTGTCGCGACAGAGATCCGTGATTCTCTCGAAGTCGAACAGGAACCTACCTGCTTGTCGGAGCGGGCGCGACCGCTTTATTTATTCAAAATGAACAAAGCTCGGAAGCCCCGGTTCCCCCACACTGGATTCGGCCGGGACCCTCATGCGTGTTACCGCTCTTGGCTGAACGGATTCGCGCAACAACTGCCGTCGCGCGGCTCTACCGCGGAGATGAAGAACATGATTGGATTAAGGCAAAATGGCAGGTCTACGGCGAGGGTCCAGTCAGATGGGCGGAAGCCCGCAGGTGGCGCCTGTCGGCCCGTAAATTTCGCCCCCTTTTCACACTGCGGAACTCCATGGATCTTTTCTCAGCAGGAAGGGGCGGAGTTGCTGTAAGGATCGGTTTGTGTACATATTATTTAAGGTCCCATGGTCCCCCCGACAATCTCTCTTAGCACGCTTTGGTGGACGTTGTGCTCATTCGCGGTTGGCTACTTCAAAGAGGAAGAGAGGGAGGGAAGCTACTCTACATACCTAGGCAGCAACGTATTCCGGTTAAAATATCGAGTCACCCCCCGTATGCGTAGAGTCTACCGGTCCAGAACAATTTGCGGGGGTCTCGAGGAACTGACCAATCGGCGGGGAACCAGCCAAATTCGAACTGCGGTACCGAGTAATCACAGGCAACATGATTGTTTGGGACACCTCAACGGCTCAACCCGTCTTCCTCTCTGTTATTTACAAGGACCTTGATCCGCTGTCCAGTCAACCAAAGCTTCTCAACAGCTGCCTTCGGGGATCTACGTGAAGCCACCACGTTTTCTGGACCATGCCTAGCACACATCGGCATCCTCTAAACTCAATGATCAAGTCTTGGAACTTGGTCCCAACGAGGTACCACTGGCTGTATAGTTGAGGGGCGATAAATAAGCCAGCCATGGAGATTCACAACTTTCTGATGGAGGGAAAGATATTGTGAAGACACTTCAAGACGACTATGAATGTCAGTGAGGTTCGGAACTGGAATGTTCTATGTTGGGCGCCGAACGAGGGAAGGAAGGAAGAAGCCGGGGCCAGAACCCGTGTTTCAATCCCGGGCCGGTAGTGGTGGGGCATGGAGCTAGCAGTGCGTGCCGGTAAGAGGGATCGGGAGTTAAGGTGGGTCCAGCCAGGGTACGATATCAGGAAAGATTATGTCATCGAGATGACTTTGAATCGAATCTTTATCCGACTCTCCCCCTTTCACAGACTTGATACCGTACACACAAGCTGAAGCCCAAGATTAAAACGAGCGACTACCGTCGACGGCGCAGCCAAAATGGACTGTCAAGTACCAACATCTCAGACAGCCGCCGAGATTCACAATCCGGGCCCTAATGCCAAAATCGTGATCCGACACGATGTAGCTGTTGCGGCCCCAGGGCCGGATGAGGTGCTCATAAAGTTACATTTCAGTGGTATTTGGTACGTCCCATCTCCTTACCTGCCTACCTGTTCTAATGTTTAATCACGCCCACTTAACAAACCGTGTCTCATAAATTAGCCATTCGGACATTCGTGCCTATCTTGGATGGGGTGCGTATGAAGCTATTGTCGGCCACGAGGGTGTTGGCACGGTGGTCAAGGTTGGCCGCAACGTTGACCCATCTGTTCTCGGTCAACGTGTGGGAATCAAATGGCTCCACAGCGCCTGCGATGGTTGCTCGGCATGCTCCAAGGGGTTTCCGAACAACTGCTGCCGACAGAATAACACCGGCCGCAATGTTCCTGGCACGCTGCAGCAATTCGCCGTGGCGAACGCCAAACACATGACCAAAATCCCGCCCGGACTCCCTGGAGAAATTGCAGCCCCCTTGCTCTGCGCCGGATTGACAATGGCTGGGGCCATCTCGAAGCTTGAGGGGGACCTCGAGGCCGGAGACTGGGTGGTGATATCTGGCTCTGGCGGCGGGCTAGGCCACATGGGCGTACAGATCGCGAGCTTGAAAGGGTTGCGAGTCATCGCAGTGGATAGCGGGGAGGGCAAACGCAGCCTAAGCCTAGACTCCGGGGCCGAGGTTTTCATCGACTATAAGACGATGGATGTGGAAAAGGAGGTAAAGGCCCTGACCGGAGAAGGAGCCTCCGCTGTTGTGGTCGTTCCGGGTTCGGAAGAGGCGTTCAATCTTGCCCCGAAGCTAGTCCGAAACATGGGCGTGATCGTTTGCGTGGGCCTGCCTCGGAACGATTTCAATCTTCCGATATCTGCGACCATGTGTTCGGCAAGGGGTATGTCAAAATCCTCCAACCCACCCCACCTTGACCTCCATGGAGACTTACGCTGAACGAAATGGTTAGGACTCGTGATCAAAGGTGTGTCGGTTGGCACAGAGGAGCAGATGGACCAGCTTCTTCAGCAAGCACTTGAAGGCAAACTTCGGCCTTTGGTTGAGGTTTTTGACTTTGAGCAAGTTTCAAATGTTTTCGATAGACTGAGGGATGATGGTGTAACGGGCAGGGCTGTGGTAAGAATTCCGCAGTGAGGCCAAGGCCTGGCTGGCTCCTTGCCTTAATTATAATCTCACGATTCCGATTTCTGGGTTTGGTCCTAGAAGATAATCTCCTGGTCCGGAAGCGTGCAAGACACGGTCGACCCGCGTTCCCATTTCTCCACCATTGCTATCCTTGCAGTTGGCCCCCCTCCTTCAGTTCAGCCATATTCTCTAGTCTAATTGTCCAGTCCCCATTGTCCTCTGCCCAGAGACTATGCGGTGGCAGCATCGAAAGAAAGGAACGTCGACTTCTTTCCGGCCGCCTCCTCGTCCTGCGAGATGTTGTTGTTGAGCTTCTTTTGCTCGGCGGCGATCTTGTCGGCAACGTCCTTGCCCTGTGCCTGCTCGATCATGAGGCGGATCATGGTGGCCTCCAGCTTGAGGACCTTGTTCTTGATCTTGCCCCGCTGCAGCGCGTCCTTCTCCTCGCCCGTGGCTGTCTTGATGGCCGGGTTGAACACCTCTGTCTCGGCGTCGTTGCAGATGGAGTTCACCGACTTCAGGAAGTCGACGTCGGCCTTGTCGGCACTGGCAAGGTCGGTCAGGTCTAGCGCGGAGAAGACGGACAACGCTTCCGACTCGGCGTTACCAGCCACGCCGCCTGAGATGGAGATATCGTCATAGGTCTGCTGCGTGAAAACACCGCGCTTGACCTTAGTAGGCGCTGCCACGGCGAGCGCGGCAAAGACGGTGGTGAGAGTGAGGGAGAAGCGCATGTTTCTTTGGCGAATGGACGATGTCCAAGGGCGAAGGTTATTAGATGACGAACGTGAATGGTGGACTGAACTGGGGAGAGATAAGAAATAAAAGGCAGCGCTGCTGCGGAGGTATGTATGGTAAGAAGTGAAAGATAGGAAATAATGGACAAGAGTTGGATGTGTGACGAAGAGCGGGTGGAACGGGACAGTGGGCGATCTTATGTAAATAATAAGATCCCCATATTACCACAAGTCTATCATGAGCTTGTTCCACCGTAAACGGGGATTTTGCAAGCCAGCGACCTGGTGTCTGGGTGCGACGACGGCGTTTGAGCCCGGCCTCTGCGACTGCTTGGCTGCCCTGGAGACAGCTTGGCAGGCCGACAGCTGCCTTTAATACGGCGGTATCACGAAAGCAGTGGCAGGGGCTGTGCTTTGTTGAAACATAATTAGGGGATACCCCCAGGCTCGTCATTCGAAGTCCGTTCTAGTGGATTCCCGCCTAGTCTTTTTAAGTTGGGTCATGCTCAAACGTCGCCGACTTCAGCCAAGACACTAATGCTGAGAAATGCCTGGCTGCGCAGGGATTCTGATTCTATTCTGGGGTAGTGCTTGATAGTATGTTTCACCCCGCCATTCCAGAGTCCACGCCGTTGGCTCCTCCAGCTAATGAGTGGCTAATTAACATCAGAGTAATGAGGCATCGCGTCGAAAGGTCATCCCCGTCCCGCATCCGGAACCCACTCATACAAAATATCAGTCCTCATGGTGTACTTGACCCCTTTGGTCACCTCCGCACCTTCATGATAGAGACCGTCGTGCTGAAATATCAACACACTCCCTTCCCTGGGATTGACATCCAGTCGGCTCTTCTTATCTCTGGACAGGAACGCAGTTGCGCCACCAACAAGTTGTGCCTGGGGGTCTATCTCGGCCGAGTTATTGAGATAGAGCTGTATAGTGTAGTGGGTCTGGAACTCTACACCGTCCTCCTCATACCAGTAAGGGCTGTCGGTGTGTGCTGCAGCGGCCGAATCAGGTACTTGCTTGAAAGTGTGTGGGATAACAGCGGAGGGGGGAAAGTGTCTTACGCTTGAAATACTGGCCAGCGGAGTACTTGAGGAACCGCATTCTGTTGTTGAACCTCCGGAATTCCCATCTTCCGCTTCCCTGATACCTCTGAGGTGGAAGTTTGTCCAGCAACTCTCGCACTCCCTGGGCCGTTGCGCAGCGTTCCCAGATACGATCCACGACTGTCTGCTGATCCCATATGATCCTATCACTCTCACGATAGCCCGTGGCGAGTACCTCCAACCCTGGCCCGGCGCTTATTAAGGCAGGCCGCCACGGGGAGTCGCCGTCCTCGACGGGCACAGAAGATTCGGCGAGAGATAGAAGCTCCTTGCATTCAGCTGGAGAGAGGACGTTGTCGAGAACAAGAGCCGTGTGAGGTGCATACTGGGGTAGGGGAGAAGAGGCAAAGTCGATGGGATTTGATATGATCGGCCTCACCGGAGGGCTGGTGAGAAACGAGTCAGGGATGTCAACGTCTTTGGAGACATACTCGACATTCATTAGGGGCGCCATGGCAGTTTTTTTTTGGCCGGCTGCCGAGACGAGTTTGGATATAATGGTGGTGAAACTTGTAACTTGGACAGATTCACAAGGTGGGTTGTTGCTAAATACCAAAGCAAGGATAATAATAAGAAGAGGAAGATGTTGACAACCGGGCATCTTGTAATTAATAATTATTTATTACCAAGTGCTGCCTAGAACTACGCTAAGTAGGTTGTTGGCCGGCCACCTGTTGTTGCTGCTCCGGGGTCTGTGCGGCGTTCTTTCGTAAGACCTGGCGCCTCCAAATTAGGCAGCGAGATCAATCCACAACTCTGAGACAGCCAAATAACTTGCAGTTGTTTTCTTGTTGCCTTGTAGGCAGCACAGATGGCGAGTTATGTGGCCTTCAGTTGTTTGGAGACCAATTACCTACATAGGACGCATGAGTGGAACTAGAAAGTTGCTTGTTCCATGGAATGGAATACAGGCAACATGGTGGGGGTGGGCGCATGGTGGGGTACCATAATCTTTGGGGCTACTCCTGCTCCACGTGACGACAACAAGCCATCACATTGGCCATGGCCAGTGAATTCTTGACCAATCCGTTGAACCATGCTGCAACTGCAACTACTCATTCCTTAATCACTGCATGCTGTAACATGGTTGATAATCGTCGGAATCAGGATGCTCATATTAACGTCGGCGCTGCAGCTGCGGGGTCGAGGAACCTGCTCTGCCGGCGGATACTTCAAGGAGCTGCTGCGCTGCTTGGCCTCATCATCGCGCTTGTATTGCTCGGTCCCCATCGCAGCTGGAGATTGACAGCAGGATCCGTCGATATGAGACTCCCCAGCCTTGTCGCGTGTGGTGCACCCTTCGCCGCTGCGCTCAACATCACCTACTACCAGAATGTGCCCCTGGCACCGTCTCCACTCCCCGCCTCCCATGCGGCTTCTGATGGAGAGCAGATCATCGAGCTCTTCCAGAGATTGGGTCGCTCGACGGTGTGGACGAGCATCGCCAACATCAGCTTCGAAGGGGACACCTTTGAGCCCGAGGGCATGATCCGCCTCGGCAACGATCGCTATGTTGTGAGCTCCGGCGAATACACCGAGCACACCCAGAGCTACGGCGAGATCATCAACGGGACGGACAGGACAGCGGGCCAAGGGTTTGCACATTTGATGGTCTACAACGGCAAGGGAGAGCGCATCGCGGACGCGACCATCACGACCGAAGGCGCGCAAGAATACCACAACGGCGGGATCGACTGGGACGGCGAGTCCATCTGGGGCACCATCGGCCAGTACCGCCCCAACAGCACCGCCTACGTGTACAAGGCCGACCCCGCGACCATGGAACCGACCGAGGTCGTCCACTACGACGACCATCTCGGTGGCATCGTCCACGATACCGTCGCCGACAGCATCACGGCGCTCAACTGGGGCTCCCGCAATGCTTCGACGTGGGACCTCAAGCGCGTGAACCCAGGGTGTGCATCAGAACCGGCATCCGCACCCGCACCAGCACCCAAGCCCCGGAGAGTCGTGCGCAACCCGAGCTACTTTGTCGACTACCAGGACTGCAAGTGGCTGGGCCGCAGCAGGTTCTACGGCGGGAAGAGTGTCATGCTCTGTTCAGGGGTCGCAACCGTTGGCAACTACAACCTTGGCGGCGTAGCGCTGGTGGACGTGGCGACCATGGTCCCGTTGGCGGAAGTGCCCATCGCCCTGGAGAGTGCGCTGGGGGTCAGGCTTACGCAGAACCCGGTGGACGCGAGCGTGGAAGACGGCAAGCTGAGGTTCTACTGGATGCCGGACCAGCATAACAGCACGCTGTACATCTATGAGGCCGAGCCAGACAGTCCTTTCCAATATGGCGGTGGGCGCATCCAATGATATTCATCGTTTGCTATTCGCGAGGGACCCAAATGTGCTACATGGTGGCCCTGAGGCTAGCAAAGGCATCGTCCCTGCCACCCAAGAATCTCTCCTCGCTCGTCTTCCAGTTGACGATGTTCCAGATGTTTTCCACGTAGGCAGCCTTGCCGTTAAGGTACTGCAAGTAGTAAGCATGCTCCCACATGTCGACGCCCAAGATGGGCGTGTCCCCGACAACGACGGCCTCCTGGTTCGCGAGCGTCACGATGCGCAGCGACCCCGTTCCCTTCTCCTTGACGAGCCACCCCCACCCACTCCCCTGGATGCCGAGCAGCTCGGCCGTGAACGCCGACCGGAACTCGTCAAAACTGCCCCAGGCCGAGGCGATGGCGGCTTGCAGGCTGGGTGCCGCGTCGGGCGACGCCTCCGGGGACGAGGCGGGGCTGAGGTTCTGCCAGAACAGCGCGTGGTTGATGTGCCCGCCGCCGTTGAATCGGATCGCCGATAGCTGGGCGGCAAAGTCGGCGATGCTCCCTTGCGAGAGCGCCACGGCGGAGGCCTCCAGCGCCTTGTTGAGGTTTGTTACGTAGGCCTGGTGGTGCTTGGTGTGGTGCAGTTCCATGATTTGCTTCGAGATGCTTGGTTCAAGGGCCTATATAAACGTCGACTCGGGTTAATAAAACAGCTCATTAGCAAGTCAAACGAGAGGCAGATCTGCTCTCTCTCTCTCTCTCTCTCTCTCTCTCTCTCTCTCTCTGCGTCCGGAATGGCCGGCAGTCGCTTGCATCTGTGTGTCCGGGGGGGCGGGGGGTTTGGGGTTTCAAAAGGCAATAGTGCCAATGCCCGACCATCCCACCATACGCAGACATGGGTAACAACTGTGAAGGAACCATTCTCATTACTTACATCGTAGGCATACGGCAGTTCTGGAAGAACATAAGTAGCTAGGGCGGATGCATTTGCGGTATTGCCGGGCAGGTTTCCGAGCTGTGCGAAAGCCAAGAAAGGCTCCAAAAGGGATTCAAACAACATGATGAGCGTCTATACAATTGAAGGTTACTTATTTGAGGCACGAGTCGAGGGCTGCTGAATGCATGTGTTTGTTTATTATGCCTCGACGATGGTGGTTTGGAATGAGGACATGGTGTGGAGAGGTAGGTACGCGATGGACAATTTGGCGGCCCACTTATCTCGTGACACCGTGTTTACCCAGGCTGCACAGTCAGAATCAACCGGGAAATATAATTAACAGCAACTCCACGTCACCTAGGCGATGTGGTGTTTTGGGTAGGGACCCGTTACCATTTTTATGACCCACGTCATCATCTTGGGCCCAGGGATCTGTTCCTCGGTGCGGATGCCAAAGCTGGTTCGGGCCTTCACATTGGTAACTGACATTGGGGGATGAGGCACAACCCCCGCCGCAGTTGCAATGTCGTTGAGCTTGCGCGCTACGGCACCATAGACGGTCACAAGCCCGCTAATATCCAGGACCCCAATTCATCAGCATGCAGTACTCCCTCTGACAGCTATCCATTTTGTTGGGGCGGGCTGATATCACACCATTTGTTGCTCTCAAGCTGAGGGACGCTTCCGGGGTACAATTTGTCGAGTCGGCGAAGGAGGTACTGGCTCATACCATAGCCGCCAACCTGGACTATGTACTAGGGGATTGTTAGAGTCAACACGAATCTAAACAGCGGTTAATGAAGGTGAACCAGTCTTGACAATTACGTCGCGCGTATTTGCGGCGTTGATCTGCTCGACAACGGGCCGGCAGATCTGTTAACCCAAGCGTCGGTAGCGGTAGCGAGTGTCTGGATCTCTCGACTATTACACTGTCAGAGGCACGCTTGGCTTGTCGAACGGGTTCTGTACTGTGGGAACTGACTGATCGAGAGAAATGGATGGGCCAGCGCCGCAAAGCGCGAAGAAATGGGGAATACCATCCCGGATGCCCTGAGATCTAGGGCTGGAAGCAAGTCTCAAGCAACGTGTCAACCATGGTTTCCGTCAGCGGCTCATGGGACGGAAAGACTCTCATAACATTCTGCTGTAGCACTTTCGTAAAAGCGGCCTCGAGGAAGACCGATCCGGCAAGGATACCTAAGGATAGTCAGCAGAGACGTTAAGAACGGAGGCGAGAGAGCTAGACAGCGATGACAGACTAGTCTAACGCACCGCTTGGTCTCCAGGGGCTTAATTATCTTAACTCGATATGTCACGATATCCTATGCAGCCTCGTCAGAGAACTGGGTGGCTTTTCAAAAGGGGCTTTCAAGCAAAAACGACATACCACGATAGCGCTGCCAGCATCGACAATAGTAAGGGCATCACCCTTCTGAGCAGCACGGTCGGTCTCAGGCCTTGGATTTGTGCACGAGTAGTAGAACCGTCTTACAGCCTAATTGACAGCAGCAAGTATGTACAAACTCTAAGCGCAGTCGCATCAGGCTCTGTCATAAGTGTGACGGTTTGGCTGCTAGAAACGGTAGGGAATGCAGGTGGCTAGAGTGAATAAATCACGACTGGGAATGTGGTCCAAAGGTCTAGGCTAGAATTTGTTTGTTTGCCATAGGCCGAATAAGCCAGAAATGGCAATAGTCCACGTTAAGATCTTCTTTGTCTTCGCCTACCAGCAAGTTCATACCTTCTCCATCTATTTTCTCTTCGTTGTTTCCTTTCGTACTGTAAGAGAGTCGTCACAAACGACATTCATATATTGCACGCCCCGCCCCCTAAGCGGTTGTCAGGTTTGGTCCCATCGGCTCCCCATCCGCCCGCCTGTTCCCCCCCAGTTCCCTCCCGGCTCCACTCCCACACATCGTTGAGACGCATGTCTTGTTTTAGTTTTCTTTCTCTTTCTATCTCTCTCCCCCTTCCAGCTCCTGCTCGTGTTCCTCGATCACGTTTTCTCAGGCATCATTCTCCATTGTACGCATGACCGGGTACACTGGACCAATCACCAGAAGCCGCAGTCGCATGGCTGCTTTGAACCCTCCAAGCTTTGTCTGGACGCTGGAGGACCCCCTTATTATGGACTCGACACTGGCATAGGCGAACCCAGCGATGAGCAAACTTGTCAACAAGTTCCTAAAGACATCTGGACGACTTCTAATAGACGATGTTGACGACGACAACGCCAGGTGGAATGTCTAAGACATTGCGACCCTCGTTGCCAATGCGAGGAAACGGACGTTCCAGAAGCAAAGGGAAGAATACAAGCTGGTCATGACAAGCGAGCATGGCAATGCGTGATAAAATTATGACTACAACCCAACTTACATGACCTGGCATGGACTATATGCCTGCTGGTTGGCCACAAAAGGTTGTTTTCGTCGTAACTCCAATGGTACTCAACGACGGATTTACGAATAGCAACGACGAGCCAGTCGAGTACACCGACAAACCACTCTTTATGGTCCCATCGACTGTCATACTTGGGGGCTACCATGAGGAACTGGCTACTCTGAAAGCGTTGGAGAGTTGAGCGCAGCCATCGGGGCAGAGGCCCACTGGAAATGTCCTCTTCCTCGTGGGGGGCAGGTGGTGCCGCATCCTTGAGCTCTCCGGTCGGCGGGTGTGCAATGTAATTTATGGTTACTGCGGCGAAGATTATTGCGTCATGCAAGTATCCCTCCGCCATGGCGCCAATTTGGTCTTCCGACGACCCTCCAAACTGTGGCTGGTGGCGCCTTGAACGATGCTGTCACGAGCTCTGGGTGGTAGACGCCAAATACATAATAGTAGTAGGCTCCGCCTCAAGGCATGATGGGAGAGGGGGAGCAAGGTCTGTTGGATACGTAGATATATGATATCATTATACGACGAGTTTAGGCAGAAACGAATCCCGTGGCTGTGCATGTGCCGCGGGCATGCACCTGGCTCACCAACGGGCTCAGTCTAGAGCAGCAGCAGTTTGGGTGTTGGGGCGTCGCGCAGCGCCAGAACCTGCGAAGGGGCATGTCGGCAGCGCTCGGGCATTCTGAGCAACATAGGGCCGTTTTCCGGATGGATATTATGAGTGGGATTAAGGCGTATAAAGGGCGCTCTCGGGCCTCGAGTGAGGTAATTTAGCCCATGTACTGTTAACATGCAGGTCGTGGCCTTCGGCTGAGTCAAATGAATGAGCCTAACCTGTGGTCTCGTACTTGTGGAAGCATCCCTTCTCAGCCGCGAGGTGACGGCGATGGAGCTAGGCAAAGCTATTAGCGGAGGGATGCAAGGGATGGGAAGTAATACCGAGTTCTGGAACAATACAGATTAGGTAGTCGAACGCTGGAGTGATCAACTTGTTCCCACGACCATGTGTCATTAATACCCTTGTACTAGGTACCTAATTAATCCTTAGCTTGCGTCTCAGTCCGCAGACCACAATTACACAGACCGCAGCCACCCCTAGGTAGCCATCAATCCTCCACCACCACGATGTCCCGACACATCTTCAGGAATCTCTCGCGATACTCATCCGGAGTAGTGGTGATGCTCATGTGCCCATGCCGGCCAACCAGGTTCCACAGAGTGATCAGGAGCGTCATCAACCTCGGCCGCGACTTATGCTTGGCCCAGAAGAAATCGAGGAGAACCGCGCGGAAAACGTGCTTCCCATCTCGGGAAGCGATCCCAGTCCGCCACGACTGTGGTTCGGGGACGGCGAGAGGCGCCTTTCCGGGCGTCGCGTCCGATCCTGACGGTTCTTCAGGTGCTGCTTCCTGCCGGGGCGACCCGCTACCTTGTGGCGTGATGCGGACTAGGAAGAGCGAGTAGTCGACGGCGTTGTGGTCCGCAAGCAGTTTCGTGTCCAGCTCGAGGCTTGCAAAGAACCGGCCGGACTGCTCGCGGGTCAGGGCGATCGTGTCGTGGAACTCGTCTGCCAGTTGCCTCTTGGTCGAGTCGCTTGTCAGCCGCCCGTCGGCAATGTCTCTCTCCGGGTAGAAGTACGACGCTGGCTTCAGGTCCCATTTCTCCCACAACGCCGCCCTGCCCTGCTCCTCCGTCTGGTCCTGACCGCGCATTATATTCTCCATCACGATGTGGTGCGAAGGGGCCAGCCCAAGCGCCCGGCCGATGGAGGGGCCCCGAGGGCCGAGGAAGTCAAAAATACGGACGAGCATGGAGTTGGGATATGATTCCATGTGCTGGACATACGGGGTCAACAGGTCGTCGCGGAAGAAGGAGTGTTCTGAATGCCGAGGAACCGACTTGACCAGGTACTTTTGGTCACTTGTGGCGTAGAAAGACTGCAGTTGGGGGTTTCAGGGTCAGCCATGGGGAATAATTAGTCTAAGAGCATGATTAGAGCGAGCATACGGAGCCTGAGAAGCCCATGTCGCCAATCGACTTCAAGCTATCCCTGCTGCGGAATGATTCAATGTAGGCATCATCATCGACATCCCAGTGATTTCTCCGCAAATTCGCAAAATACAGAGGGCGAATCTTCTGCAAGTTTAGTTGAAAGAAGGAGAAAATCGAGGACAGGATGGCGAAGATGAGGGAGAGGACGCTCCGGCTCCGGTTCCGCCTGCCGTTCCGGATGGCCGAGACGATGGACCGGGCGATGGAGTCATGTCGGCTCATAGAAGTGTTGCACTGGCGAGACTCGGTATTTGGGGGCGGGGTAAAAATGAATAGGTATCAGTCTTTCTAGGAGAGATGCTGAGGATTTGCTGATAAACGTTGGTTGCTTTAGATTTGCTCATCATTGAACAAACACGAGCCAGCAGCCGAATCCAAGTGGCCCAAGGCGGGATGGGATGCAGGTGACGTCATCACGTTGGATCTACTGTACCATGACTTATCTCTCCGCGGATAAGAAAAGTAGCAGACGTCGTCACCCATGGCGGGCCATGGGGTGGTAATTACTATCAATAGGGGTGGTGGGAGGTGAGTAGACAATTCAAGACTTTCGGGACTTCGCGCCACCAAGGGCTATAAGGGCTATCTATAGGTACCTTCCTTCCGTACTCCTGCAAATGCCCCATCTCTATGGTTTCATGGCAGGAACGATGCGTCAAAGCCACCCGGACAGGAGGCTTGCCAGAGAGACCGTCACCCGCGTGCGCTCTGGAGAAGGAGAATGCCGGCCATGCAAGGGAAAATACAGAAAGGCGAATGTGAAAAGAAGTAAAGGAGAAACATAAAGATGCCCTTATATTCGGGGATATTGTAAGTATCGCTCGGCAGCACGTCTTCATTTCCTTGGTTGAGGTGGGAGGTGGGAGGTCGGAGGTGGGACGTAGAAGAGGAGAGACGAGGCTCAATCCAGCTGGAACGCCCGCCCACCCCATGTTTGTCTATTCCTTTCTTCTCGGCCCGCTACGGCACCCTCGTCTTCAGTTGTACACCGTGCCAGCCCTTCATCAAGTCTGCCAGGACCGAGTTCACCATCCTCTGCTGCTTCAACATGTTCGCCCCGCGGAACCTTTCCGAGGATATCTCGATTCCGTACATGGAACCGCAGCCTCCCGATATGTCCTGGACGAGGAGTTCGGTAGGCGCAAACTCAGCCACCAGGCGGTCCCAAATGACGGACTCGGCATCATCTAGGAAGTCTGGCTTCTCGAGACCACCGGAGGCCGGCTGTGTTGTCGTGGATTCGGTGGCTAGAGATTCGGAGGGGGAGGAAGAATATGGCCTGGACCCGAAGCGGGGTGCCAAGGCGGGTATCGCATGGGCATTGAGGAAGGAATCCCTCGATCCCGAGCCGCGAGGTTGTATGCACGAGGGCGACAGTCTTGCGGTCCCCGAGAGAGGCCGCCGTGGTGGTAATCGAGGCAGGTTCTTCGGATGGGCTGAGGGTCGGATGGCAGGAATGCCAAATCTGGCTCGTAAACAGGACGAGCACAGCATCTTCGATGGGTGGCTTCCTAAACGGATTAGATTTGGAGCACTGAACATCGCGGACCAATTGGTACTTACCGCTTCGAACCTTGTGATGGGGCTGAGTTCAAAGGTCGGATGGTGATGTGGAGGGAAAATCAGATTTGAGCTTCGACGCAATTACGTCACCCGATTGGCTGCAATGCGCATCCGAGGCCCAAGCTGTCCCTGGTATTGCGATTGAGTTGATTATAAGGGTTCGTGCGGTCTTTACCACGTATAACTAAAACACGCAGTTGCATAAATATCATTAAATACGGAGTACGGATTACGGGATACTCTAAACAAAACACGGCCCCGTTAACCAGAGATTCGCCATATGGATATGGGTCTCTCGAAAATTGGTTCTTCTTGCCCACAACATGGATTTGACGGAAGGGTCATCATGTTGTTGAAATATGCCGTATCAATGACTGGGAATACGAGTCTTTCACTTTACTTACATAGCAAGAAACGGGGCGGTTGGATTTCATTGTCGACATCCAGGGCAGCTGACCATATCCTTTCCTGTCGTTCTGATTGGTTTCCACCTTCCCCCAATCCAATACCAATAGCCCCCATCCCTTCGACAAACACCAACGCATCTGCTTCGCGCTAGGCACAGGTCGACAAGGTCACCTTCTAAAAAGCGGTTGGCGCTTTTTTCCAGATATTGGAGATGATCCTTGTCCACCGTCCCACCCTGTTGACGAACGCATCGGGAGAGACTCGCAAGCAGTAACGCAGCAACGCTAGGTACGCAGGCACGTAGGGTTTGCAGATGACGGGCCAAACCGACTTGACCAATCCAACCAGAGCCTGCTCTGCATGCAGGGAAGCACACGAGAGCGAGCCAACCAGGCCGATGAGATGGATGAAATGGCAGAGCCGCGATGATGAGAAAAGTCCCGCAAGAAAAGGCACGCTGCACGTGCAATCTAAATCCCACTCTATCTGAATAGGTTCCACCTCTAGTCGCTGTCCGTCATCGTTTAAATCCCCGGATCCAGACCTTGCCGGACTTTTCCCGGGCCGTGACTCGTGGCTCCCGTCCCGAACTTGGGTGGAGGCCGGGGTTTTTTGATCTGTGCACCAACGGTTTCCCCGCGATCCGAAATCCAAGATCGTGTAGGTACTGCGTACCTACCTATGTACCTAAGGTATCCGCACTGCTGCTCTTCATATTTGGAGCCCAATATTAATGTTCACCAACGCCAGCGCGAAAGAGGCAATCTCTCGACAGCAGGCGGAGTTGGTTCCAGACTATCGGCGCCAAGGAGATCCCTTGCTGTCGCTCCTGCTTTGCCAAACCAGCTCCAAGGTTACAAACGGCATGGATGTGCAACCGCACCTTCCTTTACGGTTGTTTGCCGACTAGTCCGTGCGTATCTGGCAGATTGCTGCAAGGCGTGCCAGGGCCAAGATAGGGAGGTCCAAGACTGGGGAATCCTCGGAGGCAAGCACACGATGCATTGGCGCATCACCGGCGCCGAGGCAAATTAGGCTGGTTCAGGCAGCTCCCCCTCCCCTTGCAGATGAACGAACCTCGCAAGGCAAAAGCCACATCCCCCACCTCGAAATGAGGATTGCCATAGGCCAGGGCTTGGCCAGGGCTTGGCGGCGGGAGGATTGGCCAATAAGCTAACGGGCCGTGATTAAGCTGGCCAGGGGTCCATGAGATGGGATTCCTCTTTGGGCGAAGATGGGTAAAAACGCAAAGCGACCCCAATTTCGACGATTCGTCCCGTCTCCGCACCGCCGCGGGGCGCTCCATCCTGCCCACCTTCCATCTCAGTGCAGGTACCTACTGTACCACAGGACACAGGAGGTATATGATGCCGTGGTTGCCCCTGCTTCCGGGGCCCGCGATTCTTTTTCGGAGAGGAAGGGACTGCGAACTCTCAGTGTTGGGCAGATTAGGTTCATAGGTTGTTCGCGAGGCCATTCCTTCGTTTCGGTTGCCTTTGCTCCTTGCCCTCGTCAGCTTGGTCCCCCCCCCCCTTCCCTCCACTCTCTCTCTCTCGCACCGCTCGCTCGCTGAATAAGAGTTGGCACCTCGGGCCCCGAATCAAGACATCATCGCACTATGGTCCGGCTAAGCTTGGCGGCAACGCTGCTTGCCGCCGTGGGCACTGCGCAAGCTGCTCTCAACAGCCCGTCAGTGCTCCGGGGCGCCTATATCGTCGAGTATGAGGACAACCATGTAAGTTGATTCCCGATTCCGGATTCCCAATTCCCGATTGCCCCGGGGGCTCGTGTTACTACGCCATCTCACTTGGTAACCATGTTCGAGACTGACCATCGCGGGCAGGACTCGGACAGCTTCATCAGCTCCCTCGGGGTGGATGCGTCGAAGCGCATGGACCTCAACTACAAGCTCTTCAAGGGGGCGTCAATCCAGCTCAAGGACGTTGCAGGCGCAGATGACAAGGCCGCCATAATCGCCAAGATGCCCGCCGTCAAGAAGATGTGGCCCGTCAAGCTGTACAACGTTCCCGAGCACACGGTGCACTACGTCGGCAAGCCGGGTCAGGACGCCGGGCTGCTGAAGCGACAGGCCGCAGACAATGGCAAGGACGAGTTCACGCCCCATGTCATGACCCAGGTCGACAAGCTGAGGGCGGAGGGCATCGTTGGGAAGGGCATCAAGATTGCCATTGTTGACACTGGCGTAAGAACAGGCAGCGCCTAAGCTCTCCCATAATTACAGTCACAACAACCCCGCTGACACATCTCTCTCTCTCTCTCTCTCCCCCACAGACCGATTACAAGCATCCGGCGCTTGGCGGCTGCTTCGGCCCCGGATGCCTCGTTTCCTTCGGCACAGATCTCGTCGGCGACAACTTCAACGGGTCGAACACGCCGGTTCCGGACCCCGACCCCATGGACAACTGCAACGGGCACGGCTCGCACGTGGCCGGCATCATCGCCGCGCAGCAGTCCAAGAACCCGTACGGCATCATCGGCGCGGCCGAGGGCGTAACGCTCGGGTCGTACCGCGTCTTCGGCTGCTCGGGAGACGTGCCCGACGACGTGCTGATCGCCGCCTACAACAAGGCGTACGAGGATGGCGCCGACATCATCACGGCGTCCATCGGCGGGCCCAGCGGGTGGTCTGAGGATCCCTGGGCCGTGGCCGTGCAGCGCATCGTCGAGAACGGCGTGCCCTGCACCGTCTCCGCCGGCAACGACGGGTCCGAGGGCCTCTTCTACGCGTCCACGGCCGCCAACGGCAAGAAGGTCACGGCCATTGCCTCGGCCGACAATACCCTGGCCCCTGCTCTGCTGACCAACGCCACCTTCGCCGTGGATGGCGGGGACGAGCAGTCGTTTGGCTACACGCCCGGCAACCCGGCCGAGTGGGCCAACGTCAGCCTGCCTCTCTGGGCCGTCAACTTCAACATCACCGACGCGGCCAACGGCTGCGACCCATACCCGGATTCGACGCCGGACCTGTCCGGGCGCATCGTCCTCATACGCCGGGGCACATGCACGTTCGTCCAGAAGGTGACGAATGCCGTCGCCAAGGGCGCGAAATACGTCATCATCTACAACAACGTCCAGGGGAGCCAGGCCGTCGAGGCCATTGTTCCCGGCGCGAAGGCCATTGCCATGATTACGGCCGCGCAGGGCGAGACCTGGATCAGCGCGCTCGAGGCGGGGTCGGAGCTGGTGGTCAGCATGACTGACCCGGACACGGCGCCCCGGTTCCTCGTCAACTTCGACAATGCCCAGACGGGCGGGCTCATGAGCACATACACAAGCTGGGGCCCGACGTTCGAGGTGGACGTCAAGCCGCAGTTCGCGGCGCCCGGCGGGCTGATCCTGTCGACGTACCCGCAGGCGCTGGGCAGCTACGCGGTCCTGTCGGGGACGTCGATGGCGTGCCCGCTGGTGGCCGCCGTCTACGCGCTGATGATGAACGTGCGCGGAACCAAGGACCCCAAGACGATCGAGAACCTCCTGTCGTCGACGGCGCATCCCACGGTGTTCTCGGACGGCATCACGTCGGTCCCTTACCTCGCCCCCGTCCCCCAGCAGGGTGGCGGCTTGATCCAGGCCTACGACGCGGCGTACGCGACGACGCTGCTGAGCGTGTCGAGCCTGTCGTTCAACGACACGGACAACTTCCAGCCGGTGCAGAACTTCACCATCTCCAACACGGGCGACGAAGCCGTGACGTACAAGCTGAGCCACCTCAGCGCGCTGACGTCGCTCACCTTCCTGACGGGGTCGTCGGTCCAGCCCGACACCTTCCCGAACCAGGTATCGGACAGCTACGCCACGCTCTCGTTCCAGCCGGGCGGCGACTCGGTGACGATCCCCGCCGGCCAGCGCAAGATCATCAGCGTGACGGCCAAGCCGCCGACGGACCTGGACCCGAAGCGGCTGCCTGTCTACTCGGGCTACATCGCCATCAACGGCTCCGACGGGCACGTGCTGTCGCTGCCGTACCTCGGCGTGGCCGGCAGCATGCACTCGACGACGGTGCTGGACAAGAATAACACGTACCTCAGCCGCTCCCTCTCGTCGAAGCTGGCGCCCCCCACGGCGGCGAACCAGACGTTTGTGCTGCCGCCGGCGGGCCACGTCAACGACACGGCGTACCTGAACAAGACGGACCTGCCGCTGCTGGTCACGACGCTGGCCATGGGGAGCTCGCTCATCCGCACCGACCTCGTGCCCGTGCGCTCGTGCGGGAAGCCGCTCAACACGACCGACGTCTTCGGCTCCGCCTCAATCGGCCAGCTGGTCGACTCGCCGTTCGAGTACGAGCCGCGCGGCGTGTCCAAGACGGCCTGGGACGGCAAGATGGCCGACGGGTCGTACGCGCCGGCGGGCATGTACAAGATCGTCGTGAGGGCGCTGCACATCTTTGGGGACGCGAAGCTGGCGACCGAGTACGACGTCTCCGAGACGGTGCCGTTCAGGATCCGATATTCGAAGTTGGGGTGATTCGCTCGAATGATGCGGCTGCGGGGCGCAGCAATAATATGTGTACAATGTAGTTGGATAGATGGGGGTGCAGATGGAGTGCAGATGGACCGCGCAGAACTGATATATAAATAAATACATTTGTGCAATGCCTACCTACCCTGTGTGTCGCAGGCTCGAGGCACGTGGAGAACTGGAACTTTGGACACACACCCGCATCTATCAAGGACAACATCAATCTAAGTACTAAGGAGGAGGATACGAGGTGCTAGCCAGGCAAGATATCGCCACCCAAAGACAGAATGCCGATCAATCTCGTACAACACAGGCAGCCAAAGACACCCTCAAACGACCATAATAGTAACACAAGTTCATCCGGAAAAGAGATACCAGAAGGCAGTTAAACTCAAGCCCCGCCATCCCCACGCCACCATCCATCCCCAAGCACCAGGCACCTCCTTCCCCCCCCAAAAAATTATCACTCTTCAGCACTCCCCCTCCCCCCGCACGACCTCCTCCTTCCCCTCCCCCTCACAAGCCCTCTCAAACATGTCCCTCATAACCGCCACCCTCCCCTCCCCGCCCCTCAGCACAAGACCAAACTGGAATCTCGTCGGCTTGGCGATGAGCAAGGGCGTGAAATCGTTCCACGGGACGGGGACCTCTCTGCCCGCGGCGTCGCGGCGGCGGACGACGTCAAAGGCCCAGGCCAGGCCGCCCAGGGACAGGAGGAGGGCCTGGTCGACGACGGGGACGCCCTGGCAGGTGCGGCGGCCGAAGCCGAACTGGGAGTAGCCGTCGAGGTTGGGGTGGCGGGTCAGGGGCGCGCGGAAGGTCGGGTAGGAAGGGGAGAGCCAGCGGGCCGGGTTGAAGGTCTCGGGGTCGGGGTAGATTGTCTCGTCGCGGGTTATGCCCCTGTTTTGGGTGTGGGTGGTGGGCTTGTTAGTCTTTTGGGAGAGTTGGGTTGGCAAGGGGGGGGGGGGGGGGGGGGGGTGACGGATAATGGGGCACACCCCAAAAAAAACCACCGGAGTGAAACGACCCCCCACCCATTATAAACAACCAAAAATAGATAACACCAACAAAAA